GGCCTCTTATATAAGCTTGCATATATAAGGAACAGAGAAGAAGAGGCAGCATGGGAAGAGGCAGTAACAAGAAAGGCTCCTCGGCCCCCAATTCTGAGAAACAGGCAATAGCAGACACCGCACCAATATACATAAGGCACTATATAGAGAGCCTCATAGACCAATTCAGGAATGAAGTTATCAATGACCTGAAGCTAGAAGTATGCAGAATAGTTAGAGAAATGCTAAGTACCACCCAAGAAAAAACAGGCGGTGGAATGGAAGAACAGAAAAAAAGGGGAGAATTGTTTGATGGAGAAAACAGAGAAACTATAGAATACGTGAAGCAGGTTCAAAGGGACTACCAAGATACTAAGAAGTCTATAGAAGACTGGCATAACAGCTTGAAAGAAACTAAGGACAGACTATCTGAACTGGAGGGCAGACTTGTAATATGGGAGAATGAAATGAAAAACTTCTTAAAAATAACAAAGAAACAAACAGCAATAATACAAAGACAAGAAGATGATAAGAGGATCCATAACTTAAGGATTAAGAACATAAAAGAAGTAGGGACACAAACAAGTGAACTACAAAAGCTACTCACAGAAATAATCCAGGAGAATTTTCCTAATTTAGCAAAAGGTAAAGATACTCAGATGTATGAGGCATACAGGACCCCAGCCACCTACAACCCAAACAGAGCAACACCCAGGCATATAATAATAAAAATTCCAGAAATTCAATACAAGAACAGAATATTAAAAGCTGTCAGAGACAAGAAACAGACCACTTACAAGGGAACACCCATCAGAATTACAGCAGATTTCTCTGCACAAACCATCAAATCACGAAGAGCGTGGGGGGAAATAATTCAAGCTTTGAAAGATAATAATCTCCAGCCAAGATTGAGATATCCTGCACAACTGTCCCTGGAAATTGATAGAAAAACAAGGTGCTTCCAGGATAAAGAGGAACTGGGGGAATTTGCAACCACCAATTCAACTCTACAGAGAGTATTGCAGGATATTCTAAAAAAAGAAAAATACAGAGAATCCAGAAATAATGGCAGAGAGGCCACAAAGAATGGAGCAGAGAACAAAATGAAGAAGACAAACTGACAGCTACTGACAGAAAAAGAGCTCAACAGAAATGAGGCAGAGAAGATTGGATGATAGGAACAGCTATTTTGGAGAAAATGACATCTTAATAGGTAATACTGATTTAGTATCATCTTGTTTTGAAGTCTCATCTAGCTTTTGTCCTTCTGTCTCCAATGGTCTAAATAGGTTGTATCTTACTGGATTTTATTATGTACGATAGTATAAGCAAAAACCTTGTAAAGACAAGGAGATTATACAGAAACCATTATTCATTTTCTGTTAGTCGATTCTAAATACTCTGTAACGCTGTCATTCTCTTGAATGGTTTTACATTGTTTTGATATACTTAATGCTACAGTATACGAAGTTGTACTCAAGGATTTCAAAGAAAGACAATATGGTAACTACTTTTAGGTTAGGATTATCTGGTGGTGAAACACTATTCTGCTTAAATGGTTATGTTTTGATCTGCGCTGTTTCGTTGTTATGCCCTCTTTTATCTCAATCTCCACTCCATTATTTACTTTTTTATCTTTATCCTTTTAATTAAAGGAAAAAAATAGCAGGATATATTATAGTAACCCACTTTGAATTTTCATTACCTTGATTTAAAGCCCTGTATTACTCTCACCATCTGGTTTTTAACTGATGTTCCCCTATTCTGTTTTGCTGGATAGTATCAGGTTCGAAAGTTTAGGCATCAGCTGTGAAGATAATGAGATTCATTATGACGCCCATTCTTGTTGACTTTTATCTACTTTTGAAGACCTACAATGTCTCCAATGTTTTGGTTTTGTTGGTTTTATTCTTTACTGTTTTGTTCAATTGTATTATAACTAACGATATAGGCAATTCTATTAGAGATAGTGGGAGGCATTATAGTAACCATTGTTGATCACCTTGTATTATGTTTTTACATTATCTATTATGTCCACCCTTTTGACTTGACCGATTCTGTTCTGTTATGTCACATTTGGTTTTACTCTCTTCCAAAAAAGTAATAAGAACCGTGGGAGCAATGAAACCCAAAATGTGTAATAGTCATGGTACAAAAGAGAGGAAAAGAAAGTGCTCCAAACTATATAACTGCATGTATATTTAAGTGTATAAGATAGAAAATGATATCACAGAGTTTTATTGGATCAATGAACAGAACTGTTTGCAGTATCGTTGATGGAATGTCCACTTTACAAGCTTTAATTTTGTGACTTGAACAATTATTTATAAGATGACAATATGTAATCCATTAACTAGTGATTTCCTACTGTTCATTTTTTTTTCTGTAAATCTGTATAACTTGTACCCTTTCCCTGCTTTTTTTTTCTTTTCTCCTTAAATAAAATTAAAAAAAAATAAAAAGAAAATAAAAAAAAAAAGAAAGTGGCCACTGGGAAAAAATTGTCATGGACTCCCTTAATGAATTCCAGGGAGAAGTCTTTATATTGTGGGCCTGACTGACCGACAGCACGGCGGGGGCCACTCTGTGGACATGAGTTGGAGGTGCGCCCTGCTCTCCACAGCATGGGCTCCCATGGTGTGGCACTGGGGCAAGCCTCTGGGGAGCCTCTGTGTCATCTTTCTGCCTTTTCCCCTGTCCCTGGCTACTCTGCTTGCTTGTGTACCTGGCTGCTCTCCAGCCTCCCTCCCAGCTCTTGATGCGGGGCTCAGGTGGCAGAGGCTCCTGGCCATGCTGCTGCTGCTGCTGCTGTTGGGTTGGCGTCTGGAAGAAAACAGAGACAGGGCTGTTTCTAGCTTTGCCTTGAAGGTGGTCATTCTACAGATCACTTGGCACAGTGCTTGTGCCTCATTTGTCTCTGCCTTTGACTCTAATGTCTTCAGGGCCTAATTAGATTGTGTTTACATTTGTGCCATACATGTGGTTTGGTGCTGGAAGATGGGCTAAGAGTTACACAAATATTTAGAATCACAGAATGCCAGAGGAAAGACAGACCTTGGTGACCAGCCAGGCTGATGCCCTCCCGTGGCTTTGTTCCTGTGCTCGTGTTATGAAGGAAGGAAACACAAGCAAGAGACACCAAATGTCATATTTTCCTTCCCAAGAGAAAGAAAAGAAAAACCCACGGACTTCTGGAAAATCTGGAAGGGTAAGAGGAACATCCTTTAATAACTGGATTTCCCTTCACCCACTGTTGACCTTGAGAAGAGGCAAGCCCTCTGCTGCTGCCACACTCAGCAGTGCCTGCAGACAGCTGCCCAGGGAGGGCCAAGCATCTGAAAGGCCTCAACACACCAGGCCTCTGGAGCTGCTTCCAGGCCTGGGGAGGCCAGGGTGAGAAATATGTTCTACTCTGTGAAGTTCAGGAAGAGCGGCAATAAATTCCACAGCTAAATAACCCTGGCCCTTCAGAGTCTCCTGATATTTGCCCTAAGAGGCAGGGCGTCATGCAGAGTGACTTTATGTGGGCAATCCTTTTATTTTGCTTTTTGATGTTCTTGTTGTTTTGGTAATAGGAATCAAACTCAGGACCTCGCACTCTCCAGGCAGGCACTTGTGCCACTGAGTTATATCCCCAGCCCTACCCTTTGTTTTGAAAGTGAGCTCTGTGTTATTTGTTCTCAGTGTGTTTGGAGGTAGATGAATTCTAAAGCTGTGGGCTTACTGAGTTGTACTGGTCCCTGCTGTTATGGTTGAGTCGAGGGGCCAGACCTCATCTCGCCCAGCGTCTGAGAATGCCTTCTACCCCTAGGGTAGGTACTGTGCTTGGCATCCCCTTCGGGCTCTGAAACTCAGGTGCTGCTGCAGTCACAGTCCGTGCAGTGTGATGGCAGATATCTGTGTTTTTAATCATGTGGAAGCCACAACTAGGGCGTCGGTCAGCTCTGCCCTCAGGTAATGTTTGCTTTGGGAAGTTGGCAAATGTGTTTGTCACCATAAGAATCAGAGTAGCCTGGCTCCCTGAGGTGTACTTAGCTTTGGCCTCACTGTGCCTGGTCGCTCATTTGTGCTCACTTCACAGCGTGGTCTAATCATCCCTGTATCTGATGTCTCCTCTCTGCTGGCAGCAGGGTGGTGGTGTTCATATCCACGCCATCTTTTCTGAGTCTTGGGATTTTGCTCTCTAGGCTTTAGGGATGAAACAGAACCCTGTAAGAAACAGATGTATTTTCTGAGATTATCCTAGTGGGGTAGGCATGGTGCGGCTTACTGATGGTTTGTGTCGCCCCTCTGGGATTGCATGTGCACTACCACGCATGAGCCATTTGGCAGCTGTGCACCTGCCTTCCCCCACTTCAGAACAGGTTCCAGGTGGCCCCTAAATGGAACTTCTTTGTCCTTAGGTATTTTTCTAATAATTGCCCCCCGGCCTGGGAATTTGAGTTAAACTGCCTCTGTAAAACGCACCTCACCCCACTCACCTCTGACTCCCTGCTGAGTTCGTTCCCTTCAGTCCTGCTCCCCCGGCTCCCCCTGGCCTCGCAGCAAAGTCTCTTTCACTGGTTCTTCATGTGCACGTGTGCTGAGCTGACTCTGCCCACCCCTTTGTGGATTTACTGTCTGTGGTATTTGGGCTCAGATGAAGCCCACTACAGAGAAGTGTCCCCGAAATGTCCTGCTGCAGTGTCCCCTTCTGCATACCAGCCATGCAGCCTAAGGTAAATAGTACAGCCCTGCGTGCCTGTTTCTACAGTGAGCAAGCAGGCAGGGAGTTGACGAGTAATGTGCACAGGGCGCCCGCTCCAGTGTGGTGCCCTCGCCAGCACACCATGATTAGCTGTGCAGGTCCAGCCAGCCCCCCTCGGCCTGTGACTCATCCCTCCCGATTCCTCGGGCCCTCTCATCTCTGTTCTCCTGTGTTTTTGCCTTCTTTCCCTTGAAATACAAACATGCTTGGCTCACTCGCTTTAAAACATCTGTACCTGCTCCCCAGCGCAACCCAAAAATCAGGCAAGAACACATTACCAGTGAAAGTGTTTAATAGTTAAATTACTTAAATAGATTTTTCAATTTCCATGGGAAATCATAATTGTATCCATTTTTGCAAGAGCCGGAGTAAAAAGAGTGCACACCCTTGGAACGCAGAGCTAGCACTGCACGCTGTCACCAGTCATTGCTGGGGTGGGGAGGGCCCACGAGGCCATGACCCACGAGGCCATGACCCACGAGGGCACAGGATGGATGCAGCACTCACACACTACTCAGGTTGGAAGCGAAACCACCACCACCATCACCACTAGGGGGCTGGATGGAGGCAGGGACTCCAAGAACACAAAGCTGGCCCCTTCAGAGGCCAGAGGCCAAGGCAGAACTCAAAGGTGGAGCCGCAGAAGCATGGGACAGACTCAGGCTTGGCAGTTTGGGGTCCACAGTTTTGCTTCTTAGAGCTGGGTTCCAAGGTGAGGAGATGCAGGTAGACATCACAGTCACATTTCAGCAACCAGCATGGGGCTGCCGCCGCCTCCTCCAAACTTGCGGGAGGAGAGAGAGGTTCTGTCCTGAGAAACAGTGAAGGGATCTGGGCACAGGCGCTATGGATGCCACATAAATGCATCTCTGTGATAGCGCATTGTTTTCCCACTGCCACCCGTATAGAAGTGCTAAACATGGGTTTGCTTTCCTCAGTATTTGTGCCCTCTCTGCACTAAAACAAAAGCCAGACAAAACAAGCCATGCTGCCCACTCGGGATGTGGCTGTATTCCCTGCTTCCAACACAGCTTGGGGTGGAAGAGCAGCTTTCTGTCTTCCTCCTCTTCTGTCTGCATTTCACTTAGGCCAAGTGGGATGGGTGTGGGTGTGGGTGTTAAAGATGGGGTGATGTGTCTCGGTATCATCCTCCTGCTTCATCTGAATGTGTGGGACCCCAGGGGACCCACCCCTGCTCTGGTTGTATCTGGGAAAGCCAAAGTCTGCCAAGTCTGAAGGGAGGGAAACAGAGCCTGCGGGAGAGCAGGGTTGCAGCATGAACACACGCGTATGTACACCAGTGCACACACCGACAGACGTACAGTACAAATGCGCACACACACCCCGCAGTGCACAGCCATTTTCTAATATAGAGGATTTACAAAATATAGAATTTGGTGTATTTGTTAGGTGTCCAAGGCTTTCAATAATACAAAATAAAAAATACAAAAAAGACAAGTCAGGACCCCTGCCCTCCCTCCCCTGTGCCATCCTGGTTTGCTTGTGTCTCTTACACGAATACAACTAGCATAGTCTAAAGAAGGGCACAAAAAACGTGTTTTATTTAATAAATATTTTCTTTTCTTTAGAGCCCACACTTCTTGCTTAGCATCCGCCTGCCTCCCCCTCACAATCAGCCCCGTTTCCCTCACAGGGCACTCTGTGTCTGTGTGAAGGCCTGGCCCCTCCACAGCCAGCACTCTGCCCTGAGCACCACCAGGGCCCGGGGCACAGCCTCTGTCGGGAGTAGTCTGCTACTCAGGCCAGTGTCCGGCCTGCCCCCCCATCCAAGCTGTGACCTCCTTGCGCCTGCTGCCATGTGTTGGGCTCCAGCAGCGCCCCTCCACTACAGTGGCAGCACCTGCCAGAAAACAATTTTCAGCCGAGTCCAGCAGAGTCTTCTGCAGAGGAAACATCTTTGGTCAGCTTGGTGCTCGCAGGACGCTGGCACCAGGGCTTGGGCCAGAGGCCGTGCCCACCAGCAAAGGCAGAGGCCGCTTCTGAGTCTCAGGTGGAAATCTCAGCACGGGGGTGCGGCCGAGTGCAGGTTCCTTGCCTGCAGTGTGGAGCCAAAGAAGCCGTTTCCCTTCCTGCGGAGGCCGGGCTGCGGCACCACCACTGGCGGTTGCTAACTGAGTGGGGGGCCTCCATTGAGGAAGTAGGTCATCATCTCGCCCTTGCCCTTCACCTTGACCACACCCCGGCACTCCAGCTGGTACGTGTTGGCAGCCAGCACCTGGTACATGTCCGTGGTGACCTGTGGAGGCAAAGAAGGCACTTGTACAGGGCTGTGGGTAAGCTCAGACATGAACTGGGGAGGCAGTGTAGTGTCATGCCAGTCGCTTGTGCCTTACTGACCAGACAGGGCTGTGCCTCCACTGAGGGGCTCTGGGACCAGGCATAGGCGGTCCCTGCAAGGCCCCTTAGGATGGCAGAAGCATGGCCCTTGCAGCTCTCAGCACCTCCTCTGTGCTGGTGTGACAGGCACCTTCCAGGTGCCCTGTGGCCCACTGAATGCTGTGCACAGCCCAGGAAGGGTCCAGAAGTAGAGTGGCACTGGAACTTTCAAGACAAACTAAATTGCTGCAGCAGGGCCCAATGGTGTCATCAGGGTCTTTTTCAGGATCAGAAAGATCTCTAAAAACTGCTTCTTACCATAGATGGCTGAGGAACCTCTGCTAATCACATTTCTGGGCTCTTAAAGCTGACTCATCTGCCTAAGGGGACAGTTAATAGCCAACAGAGCCTGGACTCAATTCCAGACTTTGTGCTTTTGCCTTGAGGACAAAGAGGACTCCCTGGGGCTTCATCCACTGCAGTGGTGGACTGAGGCACGCGTGCTGCAGAGGGCTGTTTGTATCACTGAAAGCTCTAAGAGGTTTGCCATCACTGCTCTACACTGTGCAGTGCTTGGTGAGCACGGAAATAGTGACAGGACAGGGAGTGGCAGGATGGCCACACACCTCATGGGCTTGCTGGGCACCATTTCTGGGCATTGTCAGGCTCCTGGTGTGGCTGTGGTCTTGCAGGTTGGGCCACCTGGGTAGAGCCTGCATCACTAACTTTGGCTTCTGTATGGGGAGGTCCTGGTGAAGCTGGCACTGGCAGGGGGCAGAGTCCCTCACCCCTGCCACTGAGTGGGTGAGAAGTCCACAAATGTGTGTGCCCCCACAGGACTCCAGTGCCTCCCCCACCTGCTGTCCCTTCTCTCCTTGGTGTTGGTGGAGGTAATAAAGGCTATTTGGCATCCACAAGCCAGCCTGGCAGGATGGCCTGGTTGGCACTGTGCCCAGGCTCCATCCCTTTGTTCAGAAACCCTACAGGGCAGACAAAGGACAGAACACTTGAGCAGTACCAATGTGGCAAAAGTCCTTAAAAATGGCACAGACAGCTGAGGCCAGCACAGCTCATCTCTACAGCCTTACAGGGAGCAGCAGCTGAGGGGAGTGCAGGACGAGAGTCCAGCTCAGGCCCTTGGCGTCAGGATGAAGGGAGCAGCAGCATCGAAGTCCAGAGAAAGGCAGAGGAGCAGCTGCGGCCCTACAGCCCTACGAATCACAAGAACCAGCCTATGCAGGATCAAGAGAAAAAGGAAGCCCCTGGCCTCTACCAGGCCCCAGGGCAGTTGGTGCTTGGGGACACCACCCAGGGACCAGGCTGTGAGAGCTGCCAGCCCACTGGTTAAGACCCTGCTCTCTGCAGGAGTCTGTGTGTCCTCTGTGTGCCTGGCTGGACCTGAACTCATCTGCTCCATTCCTCCTGTGCCCAGCAGAGGGCTTTGCACAAGCCTGGGGATCTGTCCAAGGTGCTGAGGGACACATTCATCACTCCAAGACTTGTCACTTTATATTTGGAGCAAAAGCTATGATAGGAACTGTATGTGGCCTGCCCTGAAGACCTTGGATTCACATCGATTCCCATCCCCATGAGTGATGGGGCGCTGATGCTCCTTCACTTACCTGGATGCGGTCAGGCACACCAGTGCTGTCCATGCGGCTGGCTACGTTCACCGTATTGCCCCAGATGTCATACTGAGGCTTTCGAGCTCCAATCACCCCGGCCACCACAGGGCCAATGTTGAGCCCTGCAGGGGACAGAAGTCAGACACCCCTCAATTGAGGTCCATTGCTTGCTTTGCTTGCCCTCACCAGCGTCCTCTTGCCACATGCTGCAGGGTCTTCCTGAGAGTCACCTCACCTCTGCCATCTCCCACCTGTCTGCTCTGTCCACCCTGCTAATTCAGAACACTGGTCATCCCTGCTCCTGAGTCCTCACCATTCTCGCCAGTCCCCTGCCAGTAGTGCCCTCTTGCATAAGCCAGTTGCCTTGTCTTCATATTTTGCTTCCCGGGAGAGTCGGAACAGTCGCGCTCATCACCAGTTAACATGTACAAAGTGCTACTTCCCCTTCCTTGTTCATTTTTCTTCCCACCATTCTCACTCTCAGCACCTGGCTTCTGACCCAGGTCCCTGCCCAACTCTCCTCTGTTTCTGCGTCCCGCCAAAAGCACATGCTGATTTTTAGTCCACAAGCTGTTCCACTGGCCAGTATCTACCTCACTGGCCAGCCAGAGCTTTGGATGGCTTCTGGCCCTTTCCAGAGGCCACGCCACCAAGGAGCCACTTCTGATCTGTAGGAATAGACCATACCCACCCATCTCTTCTCTTGGTAAATTCGGCTGCTCAGCCCTCAATCCAGCCCAATAAAAAAGCCAAGCAATGTATAAAAATATGCAACAGGAAGAAAATACTGAGTGAATAAGATGGAGTGAAAGCAAAATGAAAATGGAAATATTACATCAAACTGGGAATGAACACAAAACCACAGGCTGCACCAGGGACACAGCAGATCCCTAGCTGGTTCTGTTGGCTTTCCAGAGCACTGCAAAATGTAAACCTGCTCAGGTTCACAAGCACTGGGTCCAGAGGCCAGCACAAGTGGCTCGTTCAGTGAAGCCCAGTCCCTGACACTTAGGCCAGAGCCACATACCTCCCCAAGGATGTTAACAATCACAGTGTTGGTTTTAGTAACCCCATATTTCAGCTTAATTGGGTAATTCTGACACTTGAAATCCCAGGGTGAGGTTTTTCTTGTGTGTATGTGTGTGTGAGTGAATTACTGTTACTTCTTTCAAACTTGAAATCTGAATTATTTATGGGTTGAGACATACCCAGAGAGTTGATAATGCATGAGAATTCTGATTAGAACGAAGATCTGCTCTTTCAGAAAGCATTTCCTACTTCCACAAACTCCCAGAGAGGAGAAGAACAACGGGAGCAGGTTCCTGTGGTAAAGGAGCCCACTCTCTCCCGCACCCCTGGGGAGACACATCCTAAGGACAAGCTGCAGTGCACTGAGCTTTACAGAAAGAACATCAGAGGCGCAATTCTTAAATCTCTGTGGCAGCAGCAGGGGGAGCTGCGGGGTGTGTGAATGCACGTGGGCTTTTACCCTACAGCTCTTTTAACCCTTCTTCAGTGGTGACTCTTGTCCAAAAAGAAGGTTGGGGTAATAGAGATTATATGTGAAAAAGAAAAATATGCTTCTGATTTAAACTTTTTTCTGAACAAATAGATGAGGGCCTTATTTTGAAGCCAATCCAGGCCCTCTGCTCAGAACCCTTCAGTCCTCGGCAGCAGCACACACATGTGCGTACACACACACACCCCACAGGGGTCCACGAAGCTCAGGCTTCCAAGGAGAGCCAGGTACTGCTGAAGACAGGGTCCAGGGATGGTGTGTGGGCACAGCGCATCATATGCCTCTGCCCCTTCCCTCCCAAGTTCAGGAAGAGCAGCAGAGTTTTTACAGCGGCTGGATCTTGTCATCACTTGGAACCCAATAATAACCTGCTGACTCATTTTGGTTTACAAGACTGTTCTTTTTAAAAAGTTAAAATTTTAAAAACAAAACTGAACTATAAACCAGGTATGGTGGTGCAATCCTGTAATCCCAGCCCTCTGAGAGGCTGAAGCAGAAGGATTGCAGATTTGAGCCCAACCTGAGCCAACTTAGTGATACATTGTCTCAAAATTTAAAAAATAGAAAAAGAGTCGGGAATGTGGCTTAGTACAAAGACCCTGGGCTCAATCCATGATACTGTTAAAAATGAAAATAAGTGTTCCCCTATCAACACACAAAAGAGACACCACTGCCCAGGTGGCTCTGCCTATGAGTGACCAGTTGCCGCCCGCCTGTATAGGGAGGGGCACTGTTAGGCCATCCTCCCCTGCCACTGGACCCTGGACACAGGGATGTGGGGTGGGTAAAGCCCGCCACTGCCCTGCACCTACCAATCTTCATCTGGAAGTTGTTGAAGGAGTGCTCGTTGATGTACTTCATCTGGTCCATCAGCTTCATGGCAAAGTCCGCCAGGGCTTTGATGTGGGTCTTGCCCGCCTTGTCGTAGGTGGAGTCGTTGAGGCCTGAGGCGGCCATGTAGGTGCTGCCGATGGTCTTGATTTTCTCCAGCTGCTTGAAGCGATCCTCACTGATGATCTGCATAGGAGGCCAAACCTGGTCACCCTCAAGTCTGGGGCATGGATGTCCACCAAGAGGAAGTGAGCAGCTTGGCCCCACATGGTGGAGGCATGGACTTGGTGTGACACTGCTGTGACCGTGGCTGACTTGCCCACCCCTGACGAGCAGCCCAGAGACAGGTCGCTTGTCATGGTTTCCCCTTCAGCACTCGCATCCTCCCCAGCCCAGGGAAACCTCTCCATCTTTGCCAGTGAGACGCATACCCTTCTGCCAGCCCTGTGAGAACCTCCCTGGAGCCTGTCCTCTGTGTCCAGCCCCTGCCCAGCACTGGGGAGCCCGTGCCTCCTACTCCTTCCCATGGTTCCTGCCTACTGGCCACACATGCAAGATGTGCACGGGGCCTGAGAACTGTGTTCCTGCTTCCATGTCCAGGGTCCCAGGGAGTACTTCCTTCCCCTGATTCTCCTAAAGCCCTGGACATAAGAAACTGGGCTGTCCTGGGTGCTGGGGTCCTGAAGGTTAAGTTTGAACAGCCTGGTCTGAAACTTGGTGACGTCCCAGAGACACTTAAGGTCACAGGCCTCACTTTCCTCATCTGTACATGGTGCCTGGGACGCGGCCAACCTCTGGCCATCAGGGCTCTTATCGCCGATGCTCACACCCAGCCGGAGGGGGAGGGAGGGCACTGGGACCCAGAGGACCCCCGGGAGCACCTCATCAAAGTCAGCGATGATCTCGTTGAGCAGCCGCAGGCACTCAACACCCTCATTGTTGGCCTCCAGTTCCACGTAGAACTCAGAGAAGTTGGCAATGGAGGCGAACATGACGGCCACGCACTCGCAGGACTGGTAGTAGAGCTCGTCGTTGCGCCGCTCACGGGCCAGGAAGTGGGCAGCCACATCCTTGGGCAGGATGTTGTGCAGCAGCCGCCGATTGTAGGCCTGCAACTCCTCCATCTCCTCCTTCTCCTCCGTGGCCTAAGGACAGAGGAGGTGATCAGGGCAGGCCCGCGTGATGCCCCTACTTGGAAATGGCAGCAAGAGCCACACCAGTGCGAGCGTGTGCCCAGTAAACGCCCTGCGGTCTCTACTCTCTCTGCCGCCCCTGTTTCCAAGCATTCTTTGATGAACGTTCCTTCAGCCATGGGAAAAGAAGACATTGCCAAGCATCTAATGCTCCCTGCAGCCTCCTGGAAAATGACACCCTTCAGGGGCTAGTCCTAGAGGAGGGAGGCAGAATGGAGAGGTCTCGAGGGGAGTGGGAGGGACCCTGTCCTCCCAGGACTGGAACTGTTAGGAAAGGGCACAACCCAAACCCACACCCACAGAGTCCTTGGACTCTCTCCACCCTTCCGTTTCCCTCTTAATATCAGGAAATGCACTCAGAAAAAGCAGTCTGGCCAGGGCTGCTTTTGACCCAGAGCCTGCTCACCTCTGATTTTTCATGAGGAAGACTCGCTCCAGGGCCAGTGTGGCCAGGAGGTGCAAGAGCTACAGGTGCCACCAGATGCCAGCTGCCCCCATGGAGCCGGGAGTGAAGTGGGCAGCGCAGGGCTGTGGAGGACCTTCACAGCTCTCCCTGCTTCTGTGTCCTGATGCATACAGAGCTGGCTAGGACACGGTTCCTTACCCCTCAGCTAGCTTTAAGCAATGCAAATGGCTCTAGCGAGGTACTGATGTGTAATCTTGGAAGCAAGGGGACAGACAGGTCAGTGATGCTCTGCCTATAGTTCCCAAGTGTATGTGTGAGCTAGGCCGAGTGATGCCACGTTGTCACTGTTGGCTGAGATTGAGCTGCGAGAAAGACGCAGTGACATCTCGGGGCATGATGATTACACATCAAAACTGAAGCGCTGACCCCAAAATACTAAATATTTCCCCAATCTGTGATATGCAAATTACTGTTTCTGCATCTCTCCCTCTGTATATAGCAGAGGTGATTCCATGCTTCCTACCTAGGCCAGCTCACAGCACTCACGTACTTGCCTTTTTCTGGGTCACTCATCCCTGTGCCACTCTCCTGTCACCAATTAATAAAAATCCAGGTTCAGCCTGGGCTGAGGCCTTGGTTCCAGTTAGCCATCATTTTCACTGGATTTGGGACCCTCCCGCCTCTCCACAACCACAAATATGCGTTAGTGTCTGTATTCTCGCCATCAGTTACACTGAAAGTGGTAAAGTGCGGTTAACGGGTTAGAATTCCAGTGACCTTTCCCTGGGACTACCAGTACAAACTTCACCGCACCATGACAAGGTCCTAGAAGGGCTGTCTATACATGCCTGCTAGGCTCTGCTATTATTCAGCTGCAGCCAGACCCTCCAGCAGGGCTGGTGGGCTTCTCACACCCTGATCCCCCTGTGGGGAGTGGCTGTCCGCGGGGAAGCAAGTGGCACAGCTTCCCAAGGCCACAGGACCTGGGCCCAGCCAGGAGGGGGACTCCAGGGCAGGAGCTCATGTGCCACAGCACGAAGGCTCTTTGAAGAAATCCCTGGTTCCTGGGCTAGAGCTGGAAAGTATGAGATATCTTGTAATAGAAGGATACAAGCTCAAAGAGTGATGGAGCCGTGTCAGATGACACAGAAGCCGGCCTGATGAAAGGCACATAAGCCAAACCTAAGGCGATCTGAGCATAAGATGAACGGCAGAAGTGGCAGATTAGAATCCAGATCAGCAATGAACAAGCTGATCAGCGCGGTTGGGAGAGTGCTCGCCTCACAGAAGAACGGCACCTGAGGAGCACAGAAGGGAGGTGGCCCGCAGCGCGTGAGCTGCCATCTCAGCTCTAAGGGCCCGAAAACCTTCGGGACAAGGAAAGACTGAGGAGACAAGACAACTAAGCATGGAGTAGTGCTGGAGGGGCCCGCGGGGCCCTGGCTCTGACGTGCACCTGTGTCCCACTGCAGGGGACGACCGTGCCTGTTGTTGGAAGGCAGACCCTGGAGGGCCAAGGGACGGTGTCACAGAATATAGACAGCAGGGGAGCCGAAGCCGAAAAGTGGGAAGGGGTTGCTGGATTGTTTTCTGCTGTTCTTGTAGAGCAGCAAAACAGTAGGACTTTTCTGTAGGTTTAAATTCATTTTTAGAACTTACCAAAAATAAGAAGATGAACATTGGGGAGATGAGCTAGAGACGTGGGGAGGGGAGTCAGGGAGGAAAGCGAGCGGTGAAGTCAGCTGTGCCTGGGGCCACGCTAGGAACACGGCACCCTCCCTCGGCGACAGCTGGGAGGAGATCAAAGCCACCGAGGGACAAAGGACCCCGGGTTTGGCATGGGGTCCAGAATGGTGTGGACCTGGTGTGGGGCCTTGGTCACTAAGGACAAGAGGAAGTCATCTTCCTGTCACCCGCATGGCCCTTCTTGATTCTGAGAGACCGAAAGCGGTGGCCACCTCAGCCTGGAAGGGTCAGCACTGGGCTGGACACTGGGAGGCCCCTGCTCTTTAGGAAACAGATGCCACCATCCTCTCGGGCCCCGGGGCCCTCACTCTCTGGCTAGGGAAGGCCAGCCCGGCGGCAGCCTGTTTGACCCCACTCAGCAGTCCCAGGACAAGGGCCTAGGCACCCATCTTCACGCTGTCTCCAGCCACAGCCACAGTTTAACGAGTTGGGGGTGGAGAAAGTCTAAGCAAGCTGGTCTGGAGCCACGTGCCAGGCCAAGAAAGGCCAGAAGTCCAGGCGATGCCCAAGCCTTGCAAGGGGCCAGTCAAAGGTCTGATGCAATTCACATGGAAGGCAGTACTCTCCTGTCTCCTGGCCCTTTTGAGGTGGCCCAGCAGGCAAGGAGCCCCAGAGTTGATGCTATCTGTCTGGCCTGCAGATGCCCTTTCTCCAAGTGGATACAACCCAACAGGACCTGGCACATCCCGGAGAGCCAAATACCAGCTGCCTCCTGTGTACCCAGCAGGGGTCAGGTCCATAGCCCCTGGTCACCTCAGCCCTGCCCTTGCCACCAGCCAGGCTTCCTAGATGTGCCTTTGGTCCCTCCTGGAGGCGATGTCACATGTAGCGCTCACAGAAACCACTGGTGGCAGCTCCCCATGCTGGGCTCACTCCTCCTTCACCTCCCACCCCTGGCCACCCCGTCACCTCCACAGAAAGTGGCCTCTGGATGTCCCAGCCTGTGGCACACATGGGAAGAGCTCAGGCAGCATCTGCTGAGGCCAAAGCGCATCTCCAGGGCACCGACAGGGCACTCTGTAAGCCCCAGGCTTTGCCTCTTAGCCCGAGAAGGCGTAGAGCAGCAGCTCACCAGGACCCAGGACAGCTGGGGTGCAACCTGTGCAGGACTTCCCGAGATACCGGGCTGGGTCCCAGGCCAACTCCACCCACACACCCACCTGCAGTTTCCAGAGGAAGTCGAGACGAGCAGTGGACTCCACCTGCTGGGCGTGCAGGTACAGGGCCAGCACAAAGACGGAGATGATGATGGGTGTCACCACCTTCAACGCCACCTTGGTTGCATGCTCAGGGCTGCAAGTGAGAGGTAGAGAGCTGAGGCAGGGTAGTCTCAGGACTCTGTCCTTTGCTTCCTCCCATTATCCACCACCCCACCCGAACTTGGTCTGAGTCCTGCCTCTTCCAGGAAGCCTTCCAGCACCCCAGGCAGCCGGTGCTGCCATCCTGGAGCCCCACACCCATCACTCAGCCCTCATACACCATGGGTCTTCCTAAGAGGTGAGCCTGGATACACAGCACGGGAACCAGGCAGCCCAACTGACCCTGCCTCTGAGGAACATCGGGCAAGTCCCTTGACCTCTCTGGGTGTTGTTTTGGGCGCTTTTCGTCTCTTTTCTTTTTCCTGGAACTAGGGATTGAACCAGGGCCTTCACAGTAAGCTACATCTCCAGCCTGTCCAATTTGGGACAGTGTCTCACTAATCACTAAGTTGCCCAGGCGAGGCTTGAACTTATGATCCTCCTGCCTCGGCCTCTCAGATGCTAGGACTATAGGTAAGCATCATTCTCATCTGTGAATGGGACAAGGTCTGGACACCATGTTTCAAGAGTGAGGGACAGCAGACACCCACTCCTTTTGTGTCAGGCACCTCCCATGGGCTGCTGGAAAAGAAGCTGAGGCTGAGGCTTTGGGAGGCAGCCTGGGGAATGGTCCCAGCCCCGCAGAGCTGCCACTGAGCCTGCGGCTCCCCTTGGGGTGATGTGAGCAAAACACTGCAGAAGGGTGTCTGTTGTCTGTCCCTGTGAGGCTCCACTCCCTAGACAGGTGACCCTCTGCCCCCCGCCACTGACACACGCCATGCCCACTGTGCCAAGGGTGGGTAGCGGCCCTACCAGAGCAGGAGCGTCACTCACCACTGGGAGGTCCCGTTGTTGCTGAAGTCTCTGTGGACAGAAGTTGGGGACATTGCTCAGCAGGCTCTCCTGTGGACAGCAAGCCTTCTGGCTGTCCCTATACTCCAGGCCACCCCCAATTGTCACCCTGTCATCCTCCTCTCTGCCACTCTGCCCCCCAGCTGCCCCAGCACCCTTCAGTACCCTAGAGCATTTCAACAGAGAGGACTGTGGGACACCCAGGCCAATTGGTACCTATAAAGTACACACATGTACCAAAAGTGCATGGGGACTACAGAGCACCTGGTGCTTGCCCAGGACCCTACCTGCACTGGCCCCAGCTGGACAAACACCTGCCTCTCTGTCCACCCAGGCCAGCTCTGTGCCAGGAGTCAGAGGGAGCGGAGGGGAGCCCTACACCTGCACTATCCTAAAGGGCAGTTACTGTCACATTTGACTGCTGAGCCTTGGATGAGCCAGTGGGCGGGGAGCGTAGCTCTGTGGCTGGGCACTTTCCCAGCATGCTTGGGCCTTTGGGTTCCATCCCCAGCACCACCCAAAGAACGCTGAGAGAAACAGTTACAAGTATAAACATATACCAAGTTATGAGTTGTGTGGGAAAAAAGGTAAAAGTATTTTGTTAATAATTTTAAATTATTGTCTTAAATAATTATTTTAATATAATTTAAAATAATTGTTCACATGTTGAAGTATTTGAAATACTCAAATTTATCTCAAAATAAATTGCACTTCTGCTTTTAATCCAGCTACTTGAAAATTTGGAATCTAGTTGTCTACTGGAGAGCACTGCTCTAGAGCTGCACCAGACTCCAACACAGAAATGACTCTGTCCCCCAGAAGAGACCAGGCTGAGGGAGGAGCAGGGAGGAGACAAGGGCTGGATCCCGGATCCACGGGGACCAACGGCCCCGGCCTCTTTGTCGTCATCCTTGTGTTCCTCCTCCTCCTCGTCCTCTTCCTCCTCTTCCCAACAGCACAGGGACCCTTCTAGGTGTCACGGAGTCGCCCTGTCTTGTGCCCACATCCCCACACCTCCACCGGAAGTTCCTGCTTGAGTCGGACTGAGATCCTTCTTTGCAGCTCCACTTCCTCCGTGAGGAAGGCACAGTCCAGCTGGGTCATCAGTTCTGACCCGGCCCCCTCCACGGCCCAGCTCACAGCTGGCACCACAGGCCTGGGTAAGTGGCCCTGCCCCAGAGTGTGATGAGCAGATGAGTGAGATGTTAAGGGACCCTGCCTGCTGGAGAAGGTGTGGCCAGCTGCGCTTCTTCTCAGGAGACCTGGGCATGTGCTCAGTTTTGCATTTTTGGTACACGTGTGTGTGTGTGCATACACGTGTGTGTGTAGATGATGGTGGAGGAAAAGATGCCACAGAGCAGGCACCTGACATCTATTTGGCTACGATGGGTATTATTCCCATTTTATTAGGAAAAAATATTGAGATTCAGGAGAACAATGAAATGCCTGAATCTGAGACTCGAGCTGACAACTGAGATCTGACTTGCCACCCAACAGGACTGACTATGGGCCAGACAGCCAGGGCACACCCCTCACAGTCAGCACGTCCAGGGGCTGGACCTGATCCCGGCCATCACAGGGACCCCTGAACAGTGCACAAAGGCCTGACTGGATGTGATGGGCCTGCTGCTGCTACGAAGATGATGGGACAATGCCTGGGCCCAGGTAGGACACAGCCCCTAAGCAACAAAGGTGTCCCTCGCTCCCTCTGCTACTGGCTCTGGTGAAGTGCAAACTCTCAGCTTGAGCACCACAGGAGACTGGAATTAGAAGAAAACAGCCCAGCAGAGGCTGCCCCAGAGAGGCAAGGAACAACTCACTGAGGCCTAAGGCCTGAGGCCAGCAGCAGGCGGGGAGCGACCAGAGACAGAGGCACCTGGCATCAGGGAGAGTGGGTCAAGCAGCAGAGCCAGTAGCCAGGGCAAAGGAGCTTGACATTCTCCCTGCACGCCAGGACCCAGTCTTGCCTGCTCCTCCGGCCTCCTGAGACTTTCCACCCAGGTGAGGAAGGGGCCACTGTTATGGTTTGTGTCTAGCTGTAACCCAAAGCCTCATGTGGTCATAGGGCTTTTTCAGAGGGCCTGAATCTAGAGTGTGTGACTGACTGGTAGTGCAGTGCTGGGGTTAAGGTACTGGGAATAGGGGTGGGTGATTGCTGGATCAGTCCCCTGACTGGACGGCACTGCATCCCATAGACGGGATACAGTATAAGAGTCAGAGAGGCTCTTCTTCACTTGTTGCTTTTGCTGTCCTCTGCCAGCATGAACTGTTCTCTGCAGGCCACCCTACATTGGAGTGAGCTGATTATGTGCTGAAATAAACTTTTCCTCCTTTAACTTTTGGTGTCCGGTATTTTGTCTCAGGGACAAGAGAAAAATAACGAAGACAGCCACCTACATGGCATTTGCAGTGACCAGCAGGTCCGCATTGTCAAAGAGTGTGACCCCAGGCACCTCAATGACCAGCACATAGATGAGCTCGATGGCAAGCATGAGCACCAGTTTCCCGATGCAGCTGATCTGCAGGAACACGGAGCAGGCCAGCAGGCTGAGCAGCACGCTGTAAGTGAAATACTGCGGAGAGAGGGCAGCTGTCAGCCCCACCCGCCCTCCCGCAGTGCCGCCCCGCCCGCCTCGCCCCACCCCGCCCTGCTTCTCTCCAGCTTTGCAGATCTCAGATGCATGGATTGGGTTTGGGAGTGTGCATCCTGTGAAGAGCCTGGTTAGGGACCAGGGCATGGGGCTCCAGTTTAAGTGGGCCTACGGGCTCATGGCGACAGGGTCCATCCCTGCTCCATTTCCAACAGGTTGGGTGCCCTGGACCATTTCCTCAGCCCTGCTACCCCTGTCCTTTCCCATCCCGGGCTTGCATACCTATCACACGAGAAGGCGCCTCTCATGACCCTGATTCTGAAATCCACAGCTCTAAAAACTGAGTGTTCTCACAATCCACGTGGTGGCAACAACTGAGCTGACCTGCTTTGGTGACAACTGGTGTTAGCTGACCTAACCGATGCGACACTAACGGCCGTCCTTCCTCCAGCTCCTGTCTACAATGTGGCTACAGAAATGGGTTTCACTGTGGGAGCTTCTGCCCTGGCCTCTTGTGGGGTGTAAGGCATCCTTTTAAAATCTGAAAATTCTGCAGTCTAAACTACAGTGGCAAATGGAAAGGGGAAAAACAGTGGGGGAGAAGGAAAGGAAGGGAAAAGGAAGAATGGGAGAAAAAATGGAAACAAAACTTTCGTAAAAGGGAGGGGAAGAAGGCTTGAGGGGAAGGGGACCGAGGAAGGGTATTAAGACACATGCAGGTACAGATGCCCTGTGATGAATGGATCACTGCATGTGGTGAACATGTACTAATAAAAAACAGATAATTTAAAAAACTACATTGGTCCTCAAAGGCTCCAAAGACGTGACTGAATCCTTGTACTGTAGCTTGGTGTTTCCTGCTTAGACAAGTGAGGCCCTGGACCAGCCGAGCCCTTCTGCCGCGGTCTCCTGACATTATTCCCAGACATGTCACCATCTCTTATTCTGTTCTTTCTTTTAAATTTAGCACCATGATTTCTGAGCCCACTTCTGTACTGCCTCTGCCATGGGCTAGCAAGTGGGGTAGCCCAGGTTGGACCTCCCCAGGCCTCCAGCAGTCAGGTGAAGGGTTCTGCAAGCCTCTTATCCCCACCAAGACCTGGGGCAGAGAAAATCGGAGGCACACCCTGATGATTCAGCTCCAGAGGTCCAGCCTAGGGCCAGAAGAAAGGGCCCTGCTTTAGATCGTAGGCCCAGTTAGGGGGAGGCCAAGGCTTAATGCTAGGGTCTCCCAAGGACCTAGGTCTGAGGAGGGGCTGGCCAACCAGGGACAGCACACAGGGTCCAGGGACAGCGAGCTGGAACTGGGCAGGCAGGTCAGACCACAGGCGGGGCCCAACCACCTCCCCCAAGTAGAGTGGGCACATCCCCAATGGCCTTCTCTCCGAGGCTCCAGCTTCCTCTGTGGCCACCCACCCCTGGAGGGCCCAACATGAGACCAAGTAGGCTCTGCTCCATAGCACACCACCCTCAGGAAGCACAAGCTGGACTGAGCGGGCAGAGGTGGTCCAGGCCCAAGCCCAGGAGAATCACCTGTCTAGGGGCAGCACCAGCCTGCTCCTCACTGGGCTTCCCTTCCCGCCCCATGTGTACACTCCTTCCTGGCGCAGGGAAGTGAGGCGGTGTGTGTTCTGGGACTGCACTGAGGGACCTGGAAGAAGGCAGACACTTTCTCCCCAGAACATGGCAGACAGAGCCTTCACCTCACGGGGTTCGCATGAGCCCCTAGGGAGCTGGGGTGAGGGAACGGCCCCCATCGAGCAAGTGCTGGCCAGAAGTCCTGCCCTGCTGCATGGCCCAGCTGCTGAGGCCTCCTCAGACGCTTACACTGTTTTTGAGGTGGAGAAAATGCTCTGAAGGGGACATCTGCGCAAACCTAGGAACATATTGAAAGCAACTGCATTGTACACTTCAAAAACAAGTTTGCAGTAGTACTGGCCCGGGTCAGGATTCCCTTTGCTCCCCTTTCTGCTCAAAGACCTTAACAGCGGGAGTTTGGCTGGGTTTCCTGAGGCAGGGCCAGGTCACTTGAAAACACGAGGGTCCTAAATGTAAATGTTCTGCACGTGGGAGAGAAGTACGAACTCTAGAGCCCGATGACTTGCATGAGAGCTCTGACTGCAGGTCACTAGCTGTGTGACCTTAGGCAAGTTATTTAGCCTCTCTGCCATCAGGTTCTTCCGCGCTACATGGATAAAGAGTACTTTGTCACAGGGCTGTGGAAGGATCACTCAGTGAGCACTATCTGAGTAACAGCCACGTTAGCATGAGGGGTGCTTGGCACGAGGAGGCCGTAGGTGGGTGCTTTCCCTGAGGTGCAGGGGAAAGGGGAAAGGACAGGGGATGCTCCAGTCTGTACCTCAGGGAAGTGGCAGTTGGGCCAGAGGCTGCCGCAGAAGCCTCGCTCATCGCCCAGGCTGTAGTTGAAGGCTGACTCTGCCACGTGGCATGCGTTGACCTGGCTCACGCTGATATTGTGCTCCTCCGCCAGGCAGCCCGTCAGGTCCTTGGCATTGCAGGTGAACTGGGGTACGCAAGAGGGCAGCAAGACCAGATGAGCCCAGGGGCTTGGCTGGGCAGCAGGAGCCTGTCTGTCCCCGTTGCAGGTCGAGCCACCCACGGAACGGGATAAAGGAGGAGCCTGGCTGGGGCTGCAGACCCAGAGTCCTGGCTGGCAGGGCTGTGTCCAGCACACCCTCCCGGGGCAGGACCCTGCAAGCCTGCCTGGGGGACACCCCTGGCCCCTGTCAAGTTCTTTTAGCCTAAGAGTAAGGAACTAAAAGCCCATGTCAGGTCGGATACCCTGAGGTGTGTTAAGCATAGCAATTTCCAGGGAACCATCACCTCGCCCAATCCCATGGGGCACAGGGATCCCTGTTTTTGATCCTATGGGACTGGGGAGGTACCAGGGTCACACAGAGTCACCCACCATGTTGACAAAAGATGACAGGAACACCAAGGTGATGGTGAATACCCCGACCAGAGTGCTGTTCATCTTGGACCGCACAATCTTCCTAGAGAGCGTCTGCAGTGGGCTGGGGAAGAGCTGGGGGAGAGAAGGCAGCATTTAGGAGCACCCACAGTGTCCCCAGGATTGTCCCCTGGCCTGCTTGAACCCCTTCAGCTCCAGCCCCTCATCAGCTGGCCAGGAGTGGATACCCCCAGGACTAGAGCCAGAAAGCCCAGAAGGGGCCAGAAAAGCCCATTTGCCCACCACATGAGCCTGGGGTTCTGGGGAACCATTAGGGAGGGCAGCCAGGCAGCTGAGGAGCCACAAGGGGCCCTGGCTTTCCTGGGAGGGAGGAGGTTTCCTGGAAGGAAGGGTCACGGAAAGGACCAGGTATGTGGAGGGAGAGGCTAGGTTTGTAAAGGGTCATGGCACAGGAAGCAGTGAGGCCTGGACCACAGGCACTGGGTGGAGCTCAGGTTCTGCCATTTCCCTATCGGCCCTACCCTGTGCCCTTCACCCTGTGGCTTTAATTCAACATCCGCCTCCCGAGCTCCACTTCTACCATCCAATCTGACATAGCTGGCCTGGTACCCCACGTCCTCCTGTCTCCCATGCGATGCAGTTAACAAAGAGGAGGGACAGAAAGACAATTAGAGCACCCGGGCTCTCCACCCCTGCCGCTCCACCCTCTGTGCTGAGTCCTGTCTGCTGCAGATTTGCCAGTGTCCCCTGGTGGAGAAGGCACGGGAGCAGAAGACAGGGAGCCTGTGTTCCAGGAGCAGGCCACACCCCTCCCTGAGGGCTCCCCATCCACAGAAGCACATTTCACTTTTATCATCAGTGAAATAGACAAAGGCGTCTTCCTGCATGGACCAATGCCAAAAGTGCCAGACCACGGGGCCTGCCCACCTGACACTGTTTCTGCAGTTGGTCACACAGATGATAAAGTAGGTCAAGGGACCACAGTACAATCACGTGGCTGTTCACTCTTGGGGGAAGAGGACTACCTGGGCACTGCAGTGTTTGCTGCCAGCTTGAGAAGTCCCTGGGCTGCAAGCCAACACCACTACCCTGTAGCATTCACCAGGACCATAGTGGTGTCCGCATGGAATTTTAGGGGGAATCTGTGGCTTGGATCTAATAGACGTCCCTCAGGTCTCATGTGTCAGAGGTGGGACTGCATCAGAAGACGTGGGGTGTGGGGAATGTGACCTGGAAGGGAGTGTGATCAGTTGATTTGACAAAGCTGCCGAGACAATCAACAGTGAAAAAGAATCTTCTCAACAATAGTAGGAGGACAAGTGATAACTACTTGCATCCCTACCTCACACCATATACAAAAATTAATTCTGAGACCTAGATGCAAGTTTGAAAACTACAAAACCTTTAAAAGAAGATGATTTCTTAGAGATCTCATCAGAAGCACAGGCAAAAATGAAAAAAAAAAAAACGAACTGGACTTCATCAAAATTTTAAAAATTTTGTGCAGTAAACAGGAGCATCAAGAACACGAAGAAGTAATGAAGAGCTGGGGAGAGTGCCACCCTGGGCACTGCTGCTGGGCATGTGCAGAAGTGTGGCTCCTGCGGAACAGTACGACGCCTCCTCAAAGTACAGAATAGAAGAATTTTTATACAAAACAGACTTCAATGTGATCCAGCAGCTCCATTCTGGGGTATCTATCCAAAATAACTCAAAGCAGGGATACCTGTGTACCCATGTTCACAGCAGCTTTATTCATGATAATAACCCGAAAGTGGCACTGCTCAAAAACTGCCAGCTGAGGAGAGGATAAACAAAATGTGATTCAGACAATCACAAAAAGAAACAAACTGCTGCTACATGCTTCCGCGTGGGCAAACCTTGAATCTCGTGGGCAAACCTTGAATCTTGTGGGCAAACCTTGAATCTCGTGGGCAAAGAAAAAGAAGCCAGCCTCAAAATGCCACACACGGTGTGCTTCCGCTTAGGTGGGACATCACAGCTCACAGAGAAAACACAGCTCACAGACAGAAAGTAGGGATTAGTGGTTGTCAGTGACTCCTAATGATACAGGGTTTCTTTTTGGGTACAATGCTCTGGAATTAGTGGCAATATTTATACAACTCTGTGAAAATGCTAAAAAACCAGTGAATTAAAAGTTCACCCACCTTTATAAAGATGAATTTTATAGTGTGAATTACATCTCAATGTAGTTTTTATTAAAAAAAAAAAAAAACTCCACTCAGCTTCTTCCTAGCTGTGTGATCCTGGGGACCTTATTAACTTCTTAGTTTCAGTAAATAGTGAGTATCTATCTCCTTGAGTGACTATGCAGATCCAATGAAATGGCTCACTTAAAGATGCTTCATAAGCTGCTAAATGCAGCAGGGAAGTTTGTTAATATTTCTTTATTTCCCTCAAGGCACCAGTGACTAAATTCAGGGCCTCCCATGTGCCAGGCCCTAATGTTCGCACTTTAAGCTATGCTGCCAATACAAATGGAAGTCCTGGTTTCAGGGAATCTGTGTTCCTAGCTGGAGAAATAAGGGCAGCGTGGCAGCCGGTTTCCAACCCTGGCTGTGTAACTCCATTCCCCCAGCACCCCTTCCCCCTGTGCTCTAACTTCAGTGTCAGTGCTGAGCCCCCACCCACCGACTGAGGGCCTTTCTTCGAGTTTTACAACCATGATGGTAACGGCTGCTTTAGGGGAAGATTAGCAGACTCGAGAACGCTTGCTATGAAAGGCGGAGGGGGAGCAACCCTCACGGGCCTCCTGGCGCATGAGGAGCCAGCAGAATGCAGGCTCTTAGATAGATGTTAGGTGGCGCTCTGGCATCTAATGCTTGGCTGAGTCACCTTTGTGCCCTGGCTTCCCTTAGCATCCTTTAAAGGCTTCCCTTTACTACTAAGCTCAAGTTAAAAGCCCAAGAACCAAAGCCCCGTGGAGGCTGGACAGCCTGCCCTGGAGCTGGCTCACAGAGTTCTCGTCTCCTGCAGTCACGAAGTTCATCTGTGTGCCCAGATCCCAAACCTGCTCACCCCAGTCTGGATTTCAGAACTCATTACTGAGGCAGTCTCTTTAGAGGGCTCACCACAGCTGTGGTCCTAGGTTGCAATGTTTTCCTAGCTCACTGTGTCTGCAAACTAGTCATTTGGTGTCTGCTCACAATCGGAGCTTAAAGTTCATAAGCAGTATGCTCCTGATCCGATTGGTTTAAATCCATACACCCTTACACGTGGGAGTGGGGACATAATTAACGATCATGATGGGATTCTGACTCTTTTGTGTGTCTCCAGGCAAAAGATGGTCTCTCTGGGCTCCTGTGTGTGAGGCACGGCCAGGGATTTCAGGGATGAAAAGTGATGAAATTTGATGGCAGAAAATTGGAGAAAACTACTTCTTTGACAAGAAGTTAACAAAAGCAGCAAGTCTTGTTTCAGGGGGAAAACAGAAAGATAGGAAGAACTCAGAAGTAAAATGAGGCAGGCAAAAGGGCTGTGCAGCTCTGCACTTAACACCCAGCCCTTCAGAAGTCCACAGAAATTAACAAGGCAGCAAAGAGTCAGCAAAGTGGACTTGGTTACACTCAGATGCGGGGAGGGGAAGAGCAGACTTCTGTGGCTGCACAGAGCAGACAGCACCGAGAGGAGGCTCTGCTTACAGGTCCCAGCAGTGCGTCAGATCCAAGACGTCAGTGGGACAGATCGGGAGAGACCAGGAGGGAGCCTAGAGAGTGACGGGGTTTAAATATACACGCTGCTGGCCAGCTGCTCACGGAAGCCTCCATGTGCTGAGTAGGGGGCACCCACGAGCTGCAGGGACACCAGCAGGCCTGGGTCAGTGAGGGAAAGGAGGCTGCTCTCTTCTGCCCATTGGCTAGGGACAGGCTGGTCACTCCTCAGGATGAGGGACAGGCAGGGAGGCTGAGGGAGCAGCTGGAGCTGGCCGAGGAGGGAAGGAGCTGCGCTTCGGAGATGCAGGCAAGGTCACCAGCCCTGAGCTTCCCAAGCACAGCCCGGCGCCCTCCACAGGGTTAAAATAAGGAATCCAGCTTGGGAGGCTGAGGCAGGAGAATCACCGAGTTTGAGGCCAACTGGGCTACAAAGTGAGTTCAAGGCCAGCCTAACTACATAGTGAAATCCTGTCTCAAAAAGACAGGAAAGAAAGAAAGAAGAAAAGAAAAGAGATACAGGTAGGTGGCTGAGCTCCTTCTGTTCTGAGAGTCTCTGCAGTGTGAACGGCATGTGATGGCGAGGAGGATCCAACATGGTTTTCTGCAAGAAAAGAGACTGGGGGCCCAGGTAGCGCAAGGGCCAAGAGAGGCCAGAGCTGGTGTAGATCCTGCTTACCTCTAAGATGGCACTGGCAGAAGGAAGGACCGGGGGACAACCTGCACTCACAGCAGCCTGAGGACAGAGGGCTCTGAGGGACGCTGAAGCGCTGAGAAGTGAACCCAGACACGGGGACAAGATGAAGACCAAGGCTGTGAATGAGCTGCCCAGGAAACCGAGGCCTCGATGGGAAGCTCACGGAGCTAGGTCAGGAGGACGCAGGGCAGTCAGAGACTTGCAAAGGACAAGGGAAAACCTCAGAGAGAGGACGGGAGCTGCCCTGACACAGGTGAGTTCCCACTGTGTGCACACGACGTGAAAAGGTAAGATTTTGAAGGAAGTGAGTGCAAACTGCTGTCTTATGAAACGGAGAAACTGCCAGAGCATCTGGCTTTGGAAGAGCTGAGCCTGCACTGGAGTCGTAGAATCTTCAGCTCATCAGAGTACCGGGACTTCTCAGCATGTGGGGAAATAAGGTGAGAATTCCAGAGTTCTGGTAGAGGGTAAATATGAAAACCACAGCTCATCAGCAGCTCATGTCAGCATCTGAAGAGCTGACACAGCAAGCCTTCTTCCAGGGACCTGCAGTCAGTGCAGGACAGTGATCAGCGACAGGAGAAGGGTGGGCTAATTCATATCACTGCCGTGTTCACATCCAGGGCAGACTCCTCCAACTCACATTTTAATGTGCAAAAAAGTTTAACCCACTACATGAAAGAATGATTATGTGGGAAAGAGCCTCCTATTACAAACCACTTCCGGTCGGATGCAGCTTTCTGGAAAGTGGCTATTGAGAGGTTGGCGGGAAGGGGGCTGCAAGGACCCGCAGGTCGGGTTGGCAGCTACCTGATGTGGCAGGTGCCAGCCAGAGCAGTTTCATGAGCTCTTTTTTTTTTTTTAAGCATATTCTTCCCAGAAGCCCCCCTCCCCTGTCTATAAGCTGGGGAGCCCCAGCTACAGGATGTGTGGGGGACAGGGACAGGTGGACGGGGCAGGAGGTCCACCTAAGACCTCCTTAGAACAGTCCAAAGGATCGCTGGGCCTGATAAAAATGAATCAAAACTTACTGAATTGGATGATGGTAACACAGCAGGACACTGGACCGTGCAATAAGGTGATTTTGGGAAGTGGGGGAAAGGATTCACTAGACCCAAGTATGACCTCAAAGTGCCCAGTGCTGGGCAGAGAACTTGCCCGTCCACCTCCCTGCCCTTGACAACCACCATCCACATGTGCAAATCAGGGGGCTCTCACAGAGTGGGACTGGGCCAGCTCCGCTTTACCAAAGCCACCAACAGAAAAGAGGAGACTCGGGTTCTGGTTTTAGACGGGAGGACTGCACTCATATGGTGGTGCGGGCTGTCATCCAGCACTGCGGGAGGCTGAGGCAGCAGGTTTACAAGTTTGAACACAGCCCGGGAATTTAGGGACTTAGGGAGACCCTGCTTAAAATGCAGAGGAGACTAGTAACGGGAGCTGGAGATGCAGGTCAGCGTGACGGCCCTGTCTGCAGTCCTTGGTACTGAAAAAATAGCTGGACTATACGTAAGTTTGATTATGACTTGAACAGGCCAATTAAGCACCTAAAACAAACAATAAAACAAATGTTTGCCTTGGTTTGTAATTTAAATTACAAAGTTTTTTTGATTAAGCAAGAAAGCTTAATCAAAAAGCACTTTCAGTTGCTTCTTAAAAGGTTATTGTGACATTTTATTGTGGTAAAATATATATAATGTAAGATTTGTCATTTTAACCTTTTTTTCCACTTTAACTTCTCTCTCTCTCTCTCTCTCTCTCCCCCCCCTCTCTCTTTCTCTCTCTCTCACACACACACATTTTTTTTTCAGATGGGGTCTTGCTATGCAGTTCAGGCTGGCCTTGGACTCACAGCAATCCTCCTGCTTCAGCTTCCTGAGCTCTGGGATTACAGGTGTGTGCCACCACGCCCAGTCACTTTAACTCTTTTTAAGTGTACCATTCAACAGCATCAGTTACATTTACAACCCTGTGCAACCATCCACCACTGCTTTCATCAATCCAAGCAGAAACTGTACCCACAAAGCCTCCCCTCCCCATTCGCCCTCCTGCCAGCCGCTGGTCGGCTCAGCTTCTGACTCAGTGAGCTTGCCTGTCCTCCCCTGTTAGAGAATCAGACAATATGTGACCTTGAGTTCTTTCCCTCAGGGTAGGGCTTTCAGGCCCACCCATGCTGTAGCATGTGACAGCACGTTATTCCTTTCCAGAGGCGAGGTTCCTATGCAGTTACATGTTCAGTGTCACTCAGCTGTTTGTCTGGTGATGGGTACTTGGCTGCTTCCACTTTTTGGCTAATGTGACCATCTGGCACCCTGTGTGGCCACAGGATAAACACAGTGGAACTACCTGCCAGGGACAGAGACTGGGGACTGGAGGGTGAATGACAGCCAGGCCAGAGGATGAAAGTAACAGAGCCCAGAGCAGGCGGGAGCTTGGCGCCTGAGAAGGGTGTGCTGGAGTGGAGGCTGGGAGCCGGCGTTCACCTCGAAGGTGCAGGACAGAGCTTGATGGTTCTGGGATCCCTTCTGTTCTGAGCCAGGCCCACTGAGACCTTGACCATGAGGTGACTAAGTAGATCCCTCTCTGCAAGGTGGACAGATGGAGGGGACTTTGGAGATAGCAAAGATTCAATTCCTTCTGCAGGAGAGTGTGGTGCAGAGTATGCAGGGGTGATGCAGGGCCTGACCCCCAACACCATCCAAGAGCCTGGCTCCAAGCAAGCATTGGGAGGAGAGAGGAGGCTCAGTAGATGCTGGACAGTGAGTTTCTCCTGCAGGGCACTTTCTGGGGCTAAACTGACTGCTAGGGAACCCTCAGCGGCTCCCTGGTGAGCAGGGCCAGTGGGCCCAAGTGCTTTCCACATGGCCTTAGTTCAAGTCCCACCCAGGGACTTGAGGACACAGCATGCCCAACAGACGATGTGGGAGCCAAGCTCCTGGCCCTGAACTTGTGCTGCGCACTAAGCCATCTGTGGGGTGCATCCCCAGCTCCAGGCCATTGGGGCTGAACAGCTCATCAGCATGACCCCCCATTCTGGTCTCAGAAGCCCCTGCAGGACAAATCCCAGGGTGTCTGGGAAGTGATGATCCCTCCCACACTCCTCCCTTCAGCCAAAGCTCCCTGACCGTGCTTTGTGCCAGGCTCTGTGCTGGGTGCTCCCCGTTGTCCCATATGATACCAAGGGGTTGTACAAAAGCAATGAGACAGCAGCTTCTTGCAAAGATTCCCAGGGCCAACTGAGGCTGCCAGTGCCAGTCTCCAGTCTCCAGTCTGGCTCTCTGCCATTGCCAGTCAAGAGTGGTGGCCAGGCATTGTGCCAAGTGGCCCAGGGTGGCTGGACTCACCTTCACACAGGAGTAGATCACGGACACAAACACCACCAAGGCCAGCAGCAGGAAACAGGTCAGGTAGAAACTCAGCATGAACACGGAGCTGGGGGAAGAGAGGGGAGGGGAAGCCGCAGGTCCCCAGGCCTGTCCTCCCGACTTGGGGGGACAGGGACACAGACAGCCCTGGGAGGGAACCTGAAGTTGCTCCATTTCCCAAGCCTACTGCTCAGTCTTCTCCCCTGCCCCCTGGGAAGACCTTCGAGGGTCCACTGGGCCCCGCACAGTACCGGTCTGCTCCTGCCCTTCCTACCCTCCTGTAGGGACCTGCAGATCACAGGAGCTGAATGGAGAAGCAAGTGACCCCTGACCAATATTTTGCCTGACTCTCAGCTCTTCACAGGAGGGCTTCATTTAGCCTGGAAGAACTCATTTTAAAATCCCCTCCACACTGTCACTCATGGCACAATAAACAATCTCACAGACTGGAAACAGATCTGATAAAGGGCCTTTGTGGGCAGCAATGCAGCCAACAGCCTGGCCGGCCACTGAGAAACGAGGCTGATGTGTACATCTGAGAAAGAGTCCCTGACCTCTGCCCCTTCCCCCACCAGAGCCTACTGCAAGTACTACCCAGTTTTTACTCCCCTCCAAGCCAAGTCAGGAGGGAAAGTGCACACGGCATGGTGAGCAGGACCCTCGGACAGACAAGCAGCAGCTGACTTTCCTCTAGAGCTTCCCTTTGCTCTCCTGGGGCGGGGACTGGCTCAGGAATAGCACTCCCGACCAGGCTGCCCTGGCGCTCTGAGGGAGGAGAAAGGCCTGGATATGCCAGGTGGTGTTGATGGTTGTGGCTTATAGGCCAGCAGAGGCCTGGGACAGGGTGGGACACCCTGTTAGAACTCTGACAGCACCTTTGTTCTAGCTTCCAGAGGCAGGCACTTAGCTGCCTTCAACTAATAGAACAAGAGAAAAGAATCCTCATCAGAGGAAAAGAAAGACCTTCAAAGTGGCCTTCAAAGCTTCCCTAGAGAGGGACAGCTAGAGAACAACCTCTGTTCACGCTGCAGCCATGTGGAGTGGTGACAAGGGACACTGCAGGGTGTGGGATGGCCTGACCCCAAGCCACATGCAGAGAAGACACAGCGGCAGAGGCAGGAGTACATCCCATGCTAAGGGGCTGTCTGCTGCGACCGCACAAAGCCTGGCTGCTTGCGGACTCCCTTTCAATACAGAAAAACATGCCAGCTCTGCCCAGCCTCATGCATCGTAGGTGCAGCCAGTCTAATTGTCACCTGTGGTCCTGACTGCCACAGCAGCCATGAATTCAAGGGGAATCTTGTAGCAGTCAGTGTCGTAACATAAGGGGCCTTAAGGAGTGCGGCGGGCTGGCTCGCGTACCCTCAGGTCCTACAGTGCACAGCTCGGTCTGACCAGAACATCAGACTCTCCCAAACTGAAACACTGCTCAAGTTAACGGGCCAGCACGCATCGAAAAGTCCATGGCCACGAAAGACATACGATTCCTGAGGGACTGTCAGAGACTGAAAGGGACACAGAAGACACCACAACTAAGTGCAGTGTGGGATTTCAGACAGCGGCTACTGTAACGACACAGTACATTAGCAAGGACCAGACGAAAGCAGAAGACGGCCTCAGGATTAGTGAGCAGCATCATTTTGGGGTGAGTTTCCAGGTTTTGATCACTATCCTGCAGTCAGGGAAGTTAAGAACACTTGACGGAACTGGACAAAAGATACACAGAAACCCCGATTCCCGCAACTTCTCAGGAAGTCTGCGACGTTTCAAACTAAAGAAACAGAAGCTGTGAGTGTGGGCACTCTTTAGGTTAAGCACATGGAACCAGAGGATTCTGAGTAGATCCTGGTTCTACGGAAGCCAAGAGTAGAAGACATTTGGGGGGGACAATTCCGGAAGTCTGCACACGGGCTGGGTGTTAAATGACAGTAGGGGAATGATATGAATCTCATTTAGGGTACACTGTGGTGAAGATGGGAAATATCTACTGAGGATTTTAGGGACAAAATGCTCTTACATTTTCCCTAAAACAATTTAAAACGATTAAAACAAATATTGCAAAAGATTAACTACTGTTATAGCTATGGAGTAGACAGTGCATACTTTTCTATATGTTGGAGTAAAAAGTATAAACATTTACACAGATAGACACACACACCTCTACTGGCACACATACGCACACGCATGTGTGCACACACATACATGCTATGTATACACAGGTCGACTACGTTTCTCTCCCAAGTGTGACTCCACCATGAATAACTGTTCGCTAAACTGCATTTCAGGAAGCCCACTGCCCACAGCCAAGGCTTCCACCTCGACAGAGCCAGTCCTCAGCAGAGTTCAGCCATGCTTCTTTGGGAAAACCCTTCAGAACCTGAAATCCGTTCTCTGACACCTGCAGTGGGGAAACCCGTTATTTTCTGAGGATGTCTTAAGGGGCACGGGGCAACAGGACCCAGAGGCACACACACAGAAGTTGGTGACATGGAAACCTTGCGCGATTCCCTTGGGTAGTAAGGCGCATGTTGGAAGGCATGAGATCATGAGGTGGTGGACAGTCCCTCTTGTAGCCAAGTGGCCCCAGGGGGAGGACTTCCACTTGGACGTGACCATCCGCCTCCCCAGAGCCCTGGCTTGCTGGTCCCTTGGAGGACCCCTGAGGAAGCCCCGCTCCCCTGCCTCAGTAGCTTCAGCTCAGACACTATGTTCTACTCCCCTAGATGGTCATCCCCACCCTGCAGGCAGAGGCAGGTGTGCAGGAGGGATGGAGATACTCACTGGGGCACGATGGTGATCTGGACGGAGCAGATGAAGAGGAAGACAAGTGACGCGCACGCCACATAGGCACCGAAGCGGTCGTCCACCTGCTTGGAGTACTGAGAGGAGACGGCCGCGGTGAGGGCCCAGGGCCTGGCAGCGTGCTCCAGAGGAGTTGGTCTCAGCCCACTCAGCACCAGGAACACCCCAGGATCGGAGCAGACTGCAGACACTAAGAGCCCAGTCCAATCCTGTACACTGGGACTTGGACATGTATCAAATCAGAAACCATGCAGGCTGGGCTGGGGATTTAGCTCAGCAGCATAAGTGCCTGCTTTGCAAGCGCATGGTCGTGAGTTCGATCCCCGGTACCGATTAAAAAAAAGGGGGGGGGGGACCATGCAGGCTGAGCCACCAACCAAGTGATTCGTCACCACGCTGACCGAGCAGACCATCTCCACACTCATCAGTGCCCTCCTACCAGCCCAGAAGCAGGCGAGGGTTGCACTGTTGGTGCTTCTGAGATGAGCAGCCTGAGCTCAGTGAGGGCCACGCCAAGGTCCTCACAGCTATCTGCTCCTCCACCATCCAGCGGAGCTCAACACCCAAACGGCCGTGCAGAGCAGGCGGCACTGTCAGGTTCTCTTTCCTCCCCTGCACAGCCCTGCTCTGCCAACAAGTGTCACTGGAGCCACCTGACCCAAGCACTGGAGACCTTGTAACAGTGCAATGCCTGGACCAGCTTCTGGTTTTGTTGCTTCACTGGGTGACCCAAAGCAAATCTGTCAACATCACTGAGTTTAAGCCTCCCATTCACTGAAACGTTAAGAAGAGAAGCTGGGCATAGTGGCGCATGCCTGTAATCCCCACACTTGGGGAGGCTGAAGGAGGATCACTGGGAGTTTGAGGCCAGCCTGGGCTACAACGTGAGTTCAAGGCCAGCCTGAACTACATAGCAAGACCTGATCTCAAAACAAAAACAAATTAAACAAACAAAATATTCAAAAAATAAAAAATACATAAAAAGAGGAGAGACACAGATCTTAAGTGCCCTCCCGTCTCTAACTGGAGGTGGTGGCGCCCCAAGCAGCAATGGCAGCTGCCGTAACAATAACAGCAGTAAACAGTGATCAGCAGTTATTGAATGCCCTCTGTGTGGTGATGCGTTTTACGTCTTGAAAAAGAGAACTGATTTAATCCTCAGTCTAGTCCCCAAGTGGGCATGTTCAGTAGCCCTGTTTCTCCACGAGGAAATCAAGGGGCGAAGGCTCAGATTTATCTCTTAAAATAAGGAAGCCTCCCTAGAGCCTCCGTCTCCCGGGGAGCACAGCACTGTGGGAGGAGAAACTGAGGCCACCCGAGCGAGGCACCTCCCTGCTGCCCACGAGCCGGCCCCACACACCTTCTTCTCTAGGTCAGGCTCCCTGAAGGTCAGGAGGAACTTGCGGACATGCTCAGAGCGCAGCCTGTCGATGCTCCGGGCATCAATGGCCCGGCCCAGGAACTCATCCACTTCATCCTCAGGGTTCACACTCTCCTGCGCATTCCTGGGGGGCAGGGGCACCTGCTCAGGGGTGCAGACCACCAGGGCGAGAAGCCTAGCAGGCACCCAAGTCAACCCTGGCCAGGGGAGGGAAGCAGGGACTGGGACTGGGGCCAAGTGGACCAGACCAGAAGCCCCGAACCTGTACCTCTTTCTCCCTCCCCCCCCCGCTGTGATCTTAGGGGTTGAGTCCAGGGCCTTCACACTAGCTACCAACCTTTTTAATATTTTTATTTGGAGATAATGTCTAATTCACTAAACTACCCAACCTGGGCTCAAATTTGAGATCTTCCTGCCTCAGCCTCCAAAAGTGTTGAAACTGTAGATGTGTACCAACATGCCCAGCTCAAACCCCTGCTCTTAATAACCATACACTTGGAGAAAACAGCGCACATCTCAGGCCAATTGCTGGATGGCCTCTCCGGCACTGTGACTCATTGTTATGAGAACGCAGTAAAGGATTACTGGAAATTTCATTCTTTTCCCTGCTGCTCAGCCTCTGCTCTTCATTCCCCAGCTGTGTCATCCTGATCCGGAGGGCAAGATGGGAAGGCAGGACTCCCTGCACCACGCCTGGCTCCACTTGGTCCCTGGCACAGGGCTTGGGTCTTCTCGGGAAGCAGGCTTCACGCTCTTCAGGTGTTTCACTTAGAGACCCGATTTCCCAGGGCGGAACTGGTCCTTGAGCGGAATTTCTGCCAGCCCTGAGACTGGGGCAGCTGGGGACAAGGAGGGCAGGCGGCATGCCCAGTGTGCGAGGCTACATTCCTAAAGGAGCATGCACATGAGCATGTGTGCAGTGGAGACGAGACAGGCAGCCCTGGGAAGAGGTCCTAGTGTCCTGGATACCCTAGCCGGTCTGGGGTCACTGCTGGCCACCTGTCACCTCACTGGGTCCTTTCACTCTAGGCTCAGCCTCCGGCCTGTGTTCAGTGAGTGTGGGGACACTGAGTGGGAGGGCAGAGTTAAGGCTGCCCCCTCCCCAGTCTGTGGGGCAGCAATAAAGAAGGGCACGATACTCACTTGTCTTTGGGGTCTTCGAAACCCTAAAAGAGAAAGAGATGGGTGGGGGGGAGTGAGAACAGAGAGCCCTGCCAGGTGAGGGTTCCCAGAGCAGCGGGACAGCTCCCCAGTCAGCCCAGAGGCAAGATGCACAGGGCCACAGCTCCTCCCCCCTCCTCACCACAGGCTCGGCAGCAATGCAGCCAGCTGACCAAGGACTGGAACTTATGAAACAGTGACCTCCAACAAACCTTTGCCCCTTGAGTTGATTTTCTCAGGTGTTTATCACAGCAACAGAAAGCTGACCAACAAGCTAGCCTCCCACCAGCCTACAACTGTCGCCAGCCTAGACCTCCACAGATAGGCCAGGGTGGGTCCCAAGGCTGTGTCTGGATGCTAGCCCAGCAGGGGATACCTTGTCCCCAAGGATGGGAGCTCCTCCTCCCCCAGGCTGCTGTGGGGGCCGACAGGAGCCTGTTCCCTGCACCTTTTCCTGCTAGGAGAAGTGATCAACACCAGGAGAAGACCTCGCTTCCCAGGTACAGCCCCCCGTGCTGATCCTTTCAGGATTCCTTGTCCTGCCAACGATGAATACACCAGCCAAACTGGTGCTCACAGCCCGAACTGCCGCTGTTCAGACTCCAAAATGAGTTAAGATGCAGCTTACGCCAAATGTCACTAAAAATACTTCCCAGGGAGTCTGAGCAGGCTTGTGACTGAGCACCAGGGCCCTTGCCTGCTCACTGGCTGCCTCTTTTTCCTCCTCCTCTTCCTCCTCTCCCTTCCCTTCCCTACTCCACTCTCCAGTCCCCCAAAATGCCCCTTTCCCTTGCCCCACTCTCCTCCTGACCACCTGGGGTGTGGGGACCACAGTCTTCAGGAGATTATTCAAGAGGACCTCGGGGAGGGACAGCAGCAGCTGGAGCACTGGTGGCAATGACCAGGTCTGTGATGTCCAAGATCAAAGCCCTAGAGGGAGCTCTGGCCTCTCCCACTGGCTCCTCCTGGCACCATGTCCCTCAAGCAGCCTGTCTATCATCACCTGTGTCATCGCTGCTCACTGGCAGCATGAAGTGGAGTGACCAGGTGTCCGGCTTGGCCCCTCCTGTAGGCCGCTGGCTCTCATTTGCTGCATTTCCAGAAATCCCTCATCTCCTCCTTCCAGCCTCATGTAAACCTAGTCAGACCCTCAGACCCCGTGCAAAGTGACCACACACCCTGACCCCAGCACTGCTCCTCCTCAGCCTTCCCCCAGGGCGGTTGACTACCACTGGGAACAGGTGCCCCTGCTCAGGTGACTGGCCATGCTCTCCAAAGAGGGACACACTGCTGCTGCAGTCTGGCTTCCTGTCATTCCTCTCCTTCCCGACCCCCAAATTCATGTTCCATCACTGCTGCATGAGCCCAGCAGTGCATCCTGCATTAGCCCATCCTGGGGAATGCAGAGAGGGCTGGGGTGTCAGTGCCCGAGGCAGGCAGGATGTGCGGAGGTGCAGGGGACAGCCTTAGGTGGCTGGTGCACTCCCCCAGAGAGGCAGTCATCAGCAAGAATGGAGGTGTTTCTCGGCATAGAGGAAAAGGGGGACCACTGGGCACTTGCCAGAAAGCCCCTGGAACAGTTTCTGAACAATAGAGCCAAAAGAGGCGTCTCCTCTCCTGGGAAATGTGGGAGGTGCCGGACAGGGATCTGGTAAGTGGCTCCCCTCCTGCCTCACCAGACAGTGCCCGGAGGCTCTGGCAACCCCATCTGGCTGGAAGGGCATGCTCCCAGCTGCGTGACGAGCTCTGGCACAAGCAGGAGGCATGGGCACTGCCGCTCTGTTCCCAGACCAAATTCAGCAAGCCACAAGACAGCAGGACTCGTGGGGGACACCGGGGCCAGTGTCAGCTCCTGGTCCCAAGTTGGGGTGACCCCACTTCTGCTTCCTTCTGTGGCTCTCCAGATTCTCTCACACATCTCAGGGGTGGGAGACTGCAACCATCACTCACGCCCAGAAGCCCCTGAGCCTGGGGGCTGTCGCAGCACAGCGTCCGCCAGCCACTCACCATCCGCTTCATCTCCTTGGACACCTGGTTGCCACCTAGGTGGTTGTAGAAAGGGCGCTCGGCCCCCCAGTGTGGCGGGTTGTGCCCGATGGAGTTGGTTCTCTGGCGGTTCATCTTGGCAATCATGGCCTTCTCTTCTTTCTGGAGAGTGACATGACACATTAGGGTGCAGGCAGGGCTGAGGAAGGAGCCCAGGAGGAGAGCTGCTCACATCCCTCCTGCCTCCAAACCCTCAAGCTCTCCCAAGGAAGCCCCCTCAGCCAGCCCAACTCCCGAAGCCAGCCCTGGCTGGACCAAGAAAGACAGCCAATGACGAGAGCACATCTGCCTGGCCAATTCTCCCCACAAGTCTGATTGCAAGAGTCTGTCCTGGCACCTGTCAAAACCTGTGTCACCTTCCCCTGCCCCAAAGACCTAATTCCAAGCACTGAGCTGAAGTGGCCCTCATTGAGCTGCTTCTCCTCCCCGCTGGAGTGTGGACTTTAAATGTGGGGGTAGCAGCTGGACCTTACCTCAGGGTCCCCAGGCAGCCCGGCCAGCACATGCCAGGGCTCCGCCCAAGCTGCTGGCAAGACACATCACAGCAGGCTCAGTGCAGCCTGGGGACTGGGCAGAGCCTGGGGCTGAAGGCACCCAGGGGCTCACAGAGGGAGCGGGGACTTGGGCTCTAATCTCCATTCTGCTTCTTTACAATGGGCAGGTTTTAGCAGAGGAGCAGGACAGGTCCAGACATGATGACACTTTGGGGCTGACGTGTCTGGACAATTGGCCAGTTACACAGAGGCCAACCCTGTCCCAGCATCTATGCTGCCTGCACGTGCATCTATCTTTCTGTCTGTCTGTCTGTCTTTCCACCCAGATGTGCACCAGAGGTGGAGAGTCAAGCAGCCCTTTGATCCACTCCCTTGTCAGATCCACCCGATGCAGGGTTGGGGGACACTCAGCTTGCTTCCCGACACTGTATCTCTCTGCTTCCTCCTTTCTGGAGCACTTGGGAATCGGGCGGGTGGCAGGGAGGTGGGCTGGAGGCCCTGTGAACTCGGAACAAGGGAGCAATGTGGGAAAGAGGCCAGGAGGACTTCCATCTATTCTGGACTGGCCATCCTGGCCAAAGAACCAGCAAACGTTTGCTAGGGTTCATCGATTCAGTTCAGCCACGGCATCCCATACCCACAGTGTCCAGACTCCTTCTTCTTCCTGCCGTCTGCAGAGAATGTGAAGTGTGCTCCCCGCAGGGGCTGCCTCAGGCGTCCTCTCCGGTGGACCCTGCCTGACCTGTCCTGCCTCCCCTACAAACCAACTGTGATCTCTTCGCTCTAACTCCTGAGGAAAAGAAACGGGAAGCTTCTATCTACCAAAGGGCACTGCCCAACAAACTGGAGAGACCGACTCTGAAGTAAAAGGCAATTTAATTTAGGGAGACATATAAAGTGCTCTCTTCTTTGGCTTTAAAAATTAAGGTCGTGTTCCATGGAACACGACCCTAAAGTCTGCTAATAATTCAGTTGTACGCTTTGGCAAGTGCGGGCTGAGACCAATGGGAAGAAGACAGAAACTAGAAAGTGAAGGCAGAGGTTCAAGAAACAAAGCCACCGAGATCCAGGCTGGGACAGACACTGCAGAGGGGAGGGAGCGGAGGAGGACAGGAGCTCAACCCCGTGCAAAGCCATAGAGAGGGGAGCAGTGAAGACAGCCTGCCGTGTGCACAGGCCCTTGTGGCCTTCTGGGCACTGCTGCTATCTGGCCCGAGGCCTCCTGCATGTCTATGACGAAGCAGAATAAAACAGTCCCCATCTGCCACCAGCCTTGGCAAGGCCTCCCGCGTTGAGGTCCTTTCCAAGACGTGTGAGCCACAGCTGCTGGAGGAGCTCACGGCTTTGGTCAGGGGAGAGAGAGAAGCGGGAAGCAGCAGGCCAGGAAAATGTCCCTCCCCGAGAGGCGGAAGCGCCTGCCTGCCCGGCCCAGCCCACCAACCCGCTTCTGGGTGCAGCGCAGGATGAGGAAGGTCTCGATGCTGTGCTCCTTGAGGTAGGCGTTGCGCTCGCCCCCACAGCCCGGCTCCACCTCGTAGTCACCGTTCAGGTAGTTGAGTGTGGCCTTGGTGATATGGATCCTCCTGGAGGGTGGGAGACACCCAGAAAATGCAAGACCTCCAATTTTCCATGCAAAACCAAACAGCAACCCCACTGGGTCGTGACTGAAACCCAGGGCCCCAAACTAGGCTCACGTGTGCAGCCCAGGCTCGTGCTGCCTCCTCCCATAGAGTTGAGGAGACCCTCAAGTTGTCTCCATCTTGTACCCCACCGCGAGCAGGAGCCTCTGTGTCAGCCCTGCTGGAAGTCAGGGGCTATAGAGACCTCTGACTTGTGCTGCCTACAGGTCTGAAACCCACCTGGCCTGGGCTCTGTGCCCCACCTACTACCGGCCTCTTAAAGGCCAGTCCTTGTGTGGGGGGGACGACTGTGTTCTCTCATCACACTGGGCACCTCCTGTCTTCCATCCTTCGGCTAGGGCTGCTCCCCCACCTTCCTTCCCATGCCAGCACCAGGGCCAGCTTGTGCTCCGCTGCTGCGTCGTAGCCACCCTGGAATGACTCCCCACTCCCAACTCTGCTTCTCCCATCTCTGGGCTCCCATCTCACAGGGCTTCGTGTTTTGTGGTAGCAGCCAGACCAAGGGTGGCCAACACAACAGCTCCCACCACGGTCCATGGTGCAGTGTATGCAACTGGACAACGGAGGAAGCCTCATTCCAACTCCATCCCCACCTCCCAGGACAGCCCCCGGAGGGGGCCTGAGGGGCAATCTGGCCCCTACTTACCCTGCCTTGCCCCCGGCCTCCATGTGGTTGGCCAGTGTGACGTCATTAGACCAGACGTCGAACTGCCACTTCCTGAGACCAAGGACACCGCAGTGTACTCGTCCACTGTGAATTCCCACACGCATGTTCACGTTTACTCCGGTCACCTCCCGGACCAACCTGGGGATGGAGCAGGGATGAGGCTGGAAGAGTGTCAGGGTCCAGGTGCACAGAGCAGGGCTGAGGTGGCGGGAGGCACGGTCTCAACGAGGCAGTTCTCCCGTCCAGGCTAAGTAGACTTGGGACGCTAAATCTAAAGGGATGGCTACAGGGGTTGTAGGGGCTTGGTCCTGGGGCTCAGGTGCTCAATTCTGAGAAGTGCTGTTTCCTTCTTTGGCCACAAGGTGGCATGCTGACTCACAGTAAAACCAAAGGGCCCTCCGGCCTCCGGTTATCTCTTTAAATCAATTAAAGAAATGCAAATAAATAAATAAAAACGAAAGAAATGCAAATGTATGTTAGTGACAACTTGAACCCGACTGGGAAGTTACAGCTACTCCAAACCCCAATCATATTGCTCTCTGGGAAAGATTCACAAGCCTTTTGTTATCTATTGGATTTGTTCACATTGCTGCTCTGGTGTTAGGAGGATAGAGAAATGGTAGTTAACTGGATTTTGAGGGAGGATATCTGCTTGTCCTGCTCAGGAAGAGAGGGGGGCCGAGGAGTGCTGTGCCCTATAGGACAGCCCCAGTTGCTGCCTCCTGTACCACTCACTACACAGGGGTCCCGAGCCGATGACTTGGGCCTCTACCTATCACCTCCCAAGCTGAGGAGTGGGTGGCAGGACAGAAGGGCAGCTGAACCCGTGTGTCTAAGCCCAAGGTCTGCAAAAGGAGCAGATGCTGGAGGTGGGACGCAGTTTGTACTTCTTGGGGACTGTGACCTTCCTGGCCCATGGGCCTGCTTAGCCAGCTGCAGCCCAGTAACCTGACTTTGCCTGTTGGGTAGAGCCATCCCTGTACTCCTCCCTGCCCATCCTTCTTCATCGAGCTGACAGGACCATGTGCCGTTTGTCATCTCCTTGTCCTGGGGTCAGAGGAGGAAGTCCCATTCCTGGAGCCATCCTTTCTGTCCGTGGTGCCTCACTTAGGATGACATAGCTTATTCTGTCCTTCCTGCATGAAGCTTCTCTCTGGCCCTCTGTGGAACCAGCCGCCTCTCCACAGCAGCTGGCTCCTCTCACTGTGTCACATGCACAGACACACCTCGGGAGGAGCCTCAGGAGTTCCAGGCTCTCGTCCTGAACACTGTGTTTCTGGGCTAGGGACTGTCTAGCCCAGGCACACAGGGGAAACTCGGTAGACAATCATGCCACTTTCGTGGACCAGGCCAGCTGCTCTAACCCTGCCCTCTGTCTTTCCCTTTGCACCTACGTGGGGTATTTCTAAAGTCCAAAATTACTGAATCTGGGTACAGTCTTTTTCTGTTTCCTTGGCTCACACGTAAGCTCATATACAAATCCACATGTTTCAATGACCAGGGCTCCTTCCATAACCAGTGTTGACCAACAACAGCCTAGCTGTGACTGCTCACAGTCAGGAAGGAGTCTCTCAGCATGGAACTCCTGTGTCGGAATCTCTAGGCCTGGGGAGCATCCAAACCTCTCCCATCTGGGAGGTGCAGAGGTGGCCGTTTCCTCCTCTAGCTGGGAGCCTGTAGCAGGCAGGAGGCCACTCACCTGTGGAGCCCACCTCCCTGGAAAAAAGCTGTCCTGGCTGTTGAGGCACAAGGAGCCCCAGAGAAGCACCAAGTCTAGGGGTACAGATCAGGCCTGGGGGATGGTGCATAGCTAGGTGGGTGCTCGGGGACAGCTCTCCCTCATCATTTCCCCACTGTTTCTCTCAGTCCAGTCGGCTGGTCAGTTTTCCCAGGCTGGAGGACAGCACCCCCAGAGTGGAAAGGCCTGGAAGAGGGCACTTACGAGATGGCCTCAATCATGTCCATGCCCATCTCCACGCAGCAGTGGGCATGGTCGGCCCTGGCCTCAGGCAGCCCCGAGACGCAGTAGTAACAGTCCCCCAGGATCTTAATGCGTAAACAGTGATTCTCCTGGAAAGCAAATTCATTTTCATAATTAAAAATAGTGGGAAAGAGAAGTGGGAGGGACAGCAATAAGAAGCAAACAGAATCACCCCGTGCCTGGAATAACTTGTCTGTCAGGGTGGTGAGCACAGACTCGTTCTGTGCCTGCGCTCTGCCCAGCCCAGATGGGGCTCCTCAGGAGCCTGGGAGGAGGGTGGGGTGGTGGCCGAGAGCACACCCTCAGGAGCCACTGCTGGGGTCCCCGAGACCCAGAAACCAAGCAGCTCTGTCAGCACGGGGAAGGCCAGGGTGTGTGCCTTGAATGCCTGGAGCAATCTGACTTTTGGCTCAAGATTCTCTCAACTGCTTTTCTGAAGCAAGCAAGAATGACCTCAGATAGAAACCTCACCTGACCCTCGGCCTGTGTGAGACTTAAGAGTTCACTAAACCAGTGACCAGCGCCCAGAAGCTAGCAAAATGAAGCACCTGCTGCTGCCACTGCTGAGTGACAGGCGCTACAGGGTCTCCCTGGCAGGCCACTATTGATCCGTAATTGGCAGTCAGATGGAATGTCATTAATCATCAGTTATGAGCAGCCCAAAATCTGGCTCCCTGAGCTACTCCATTAAGGCAGCACACCTCTGGGATTCAAGTGCTTATGTAACTTGGACTCGTGAGATACCAACGGTGCCCGGCCACCAAGTGTGCCCCCACCTGCCTCACTTAAGCTCAGGGATCCGGGACCCCCATCAGACAGGCAGCAGCCTCTAGTGCACATCTGGCCTGATGTCCTCTGTGCCAATGGGGGCCATGTCCACATGTCAGTGGACATTGTATGAAGTGGCCACTTATACGTAACAGCTGCAGAAAAGCTCACAGAGTCACCCAAAGCCACAGGCTGGGAAAGGATTACAGTGGAAACGGACTTCATGAATAAACATGCTCCCTGTCTGAGACGCTGCTTCCAATCTGTCCAAATGTGGGGGGCTCCTCTTTCTGGAGAACTCTGGGGGTGGCATATGGCTACCTGCAGGTCAGGTGGGGGTTCGCTCTCATTCTTTTATAACTCTGGTCAGCTTCATCAGGAACGAGACTGGTGTCTCATCTATTCCAAACAGAAATTCGGGGTGGGGGAACTGGACCCTACGGCTGTGCCACCCCATTCCTGGAGCAGGTGGGGGACTCCCTGTACACACCCTCATACTGCTGTTGCCAGGACTGGCAGCGGCATGAGGACACAGCCACAGCCTGAGCAGCCCATCTGCCTGTCACCATTCCCAACAGCTCTGGAGACACGCCTGTCCTGTGTTCCCCCTGGGTCCCTGACCTGACGCCTTGACCGCCAGGGCCCTCTGGCCGGAGGTCGGGGTGACTCACCGCAGCCAGCTTGTCAAAGCGGGCGAAGAGCTCGTTGAGGGTCATGACTAGCTCCTGGGCGGTGCACTGGGATGCCAGGCTGGTGAAGCCCTCGATGTCAGCAAACAGGATGCTGGGGAGACAGCAGAGGAGGGGAACCCTGCCACGTGGTGTCTGGGTCCCCCTGATCCCAATCGTTAATCTCAGTGCCCAATATCACAGGGTTAAGAAGCAGGGCCCCTGGGAAGTGGTTGGCCACAAAGGTGAGTCCTCATGTGCCAGATTGTTGTCTTTCCAAGCAGAGACATAAGCTGGGCATGGGCACACACACCTCCAGCTCCAGCGCTCTGGAAGGCTGAGGCAGGGTGTTTGCCAGGGAAGCACAGCCTGAGCAACTTGATGAGACCCTGCCTCCAAATAAACAAACAGGGCTGGGGATGTAGCTCAGGGCAAAGGTCACCTCCTCTCTCTCTCTGGGAGACAGAGAGCAAGAGGCTCTCCCAGGAGTCCCAGGGTGCTAGGCCAGCACCCTGACCTCAGACTTTCAGCTTCTAGAACTTTGAGTAAATTTCTGTTGTTTACAAGGCATGAGTCCTGTCTTCTGATGTAGCAGACTTCAAGGATTGAGGCAGACCCATGTGAGAGGGGAAAGGGAGACAGCTGTCACCAGGACCCAGCTGGGCACCTCAGGCCTCAGGAGGGCTGCTGGCCAGCAGGAGTCTGGGGGCCTCCAAATGGCTGAGGGGCAACAGGGGCCTCGGCCTGGGGAGCTGAAGATGCTGGCCACTCCTGCCGCCCAGCAGCCCTGTTTCCAAACAAAAGGACAGAAGCACAGGGCATGTGTCTGGTGGGACCCCCATTACCCCTCTGCTCAGCCCCTGACTAGCCTCTGAGCAGCCCCTCCACAGCGACCAGGTCTGGGGATGAGTACCCTTCTGCTCTCTGGAAAGCCCCTCAGGCTGAAACAGTGTCACGCAGTATCACTCCCAGCCCCCCACAGAAGCGACCCCAACCCTGGGAGTCTTCTGAGAGAAGAATGAGGAGGGAGAGAAAGACACCAGCAGGTCTGGCAGCCATCAACCTCTCCTGCAGCTCGCCCAGACTCACTGTCAATGGCATCGGCTGATCATTCATACTGTCCTGTGGCCTCAGACCCTGAGATGGAAAATGTTTTCCAGACTCCCAGAGGCAAGGCCCCATAGACCAAAATGTGTCAGGGCCCCTGGAGTTTATCTCAAAGTGGGGGCAAAAGTGGGTTGCTCTCCTGTGCTGAGGCTCCTGGCAGCAGGTGCTGAGCTGCAGGTTCTCACATCTTCAGTCCTGACAACCTAGCAGGCCACTGTTGTTTCCCCCCCAAAACGGTGTGCTAGTGTATTAAGTTTCCTTTTATTTTTATTCAACATTGACAAAGTATGACTGCATGTATTTATGGGCTACAGAGTGGTGTTACACATACACGGTGATGTGGAAGGTTTGAATCAAACTGATTAAGACACTCATCAAATACTTCACCCCTCATTCCTAGTGTCTAAACGAAGCACTAAGCAAGTCTGTTTATTCCAATGTTATGACATCTGGGGTCTCACCAACCCTGCTAGGGTCAGACGGCTTCCAGAGAGGGAGAGAACAGCGTGACTCAGTGTGTGCCTTTCCCTCTGCAGACCAGTGGCCCTGCCCTAACCATCCCACGGTCAGGGATCCGCCGTGTGGGTCAGAACCCAAAGTGCAGAGCGCTGAGAAACTCTGCCAGGTGGCCAAGCATAAGCCTCTTCTCTACCTCACCGTTTTTTCCCAAGGAAAGTGCAACAAAGTGTGTGTGTGTGTGTGTGTGTATGTGTGTGTGTGTGTGTATGTGTAAGAGAGACAGACAGACAGAGAAAGAGAGATTGAGATCGATTCCTGTCCCCTGCCCTCCCATTCCTCCGGGATAGTCCCAGTGCCTGTGTGACCTAATGCAACACGTCTCCTCCTCTTGGGAACCGTCAAGATTCTCTCAAGGCCAGTCATCTCCTGACTGCATCTCCAGGTGAGGCCTTGCCATACCTGAATCACATTTTAAAACACACTGCTTCCAGCTCTCCACTTTACTGACTCAGGCCTCACATCCACCCCACAAGGTGCGTATCTTCCTCTCACGGGTGGGAGACCGAGGGACAGAAACGCTGAGTCAGGAGCCCAAGGCCACACAGCTGGCTCCATAATGGGCACAGAACCAATGAAGAGTGCTGTCCGTCAGCCACACAGCCACGGTAAGTACACAAAAGCACAATTCAATGCCCTGGCATTGTCTACAGGATGGAGGGAGGCAGAGGGTGTGTGCACCCTGCTGCAGGCCGCCCAGCGTAGGTACAGGCTGCCACCACGGGGCCATACTCAGTAGCAGCTCACCGTCTGTGTGTCTACACAGGCACACCAGGGGGCATGTGGGAGCGGGCTGGGCCACAGCGGCACACAGCTCTGGGAGCCGGGCCATCGCCTCCCAGGAAAAGCACAGGAGGGCAGCCCGTGTCCATATCTCGACTCCTCCAGCCCTCCAGTGCCAACCTGGATCAACAGAGGCAATGGCAGAGTGGGAGAAATGGGGATGGGGAGCCCCCTGCACCTCTCTCCCAAGTTCCAGTGCTCATGTCTGCCTGGAAGATGGGCTCACCTCACCCCAGCAACACCGGGCAAGCATCCACAGCAGCCCCAATCCTGCCCACCTCTCACCCTGCCGCCCCTCCCCACCCTTGCCTCACCTCTGCAAAAGCACCTGCACCACAGTGGGCCTGGGAATTCTTTTCCTCTCAGGAAATCAGAACCAAAAGCAGCTGAGGTCAAGACTAGTTGCGCTGAACCACAGAAGAGGTTTGCGAGTGTCCCCTAGGCTGACATCAGCATTTCACACGCAGGGCCAGCAGACACCACACTCACTGGTCTCCAGCTGTGTCAGAGCTGCACGGACTCCCAGGGTAGGAACAGGCAGGACTGCAGGACCCCAGCAGCCACCCCCAGCACACAGGTTACCAAGGACACATGCGGTTCCCTGGTGCCGGGCCAGGGGACAAGAGAAACAGATGGTCTGTACAGGTCATCAAGTGGCCTAGAAACCTGACCTCCCTGCAGCTCCTGGGCACCTTCCACTGCCCAAGGCTCCCACCAGCCGCTGAAGAACAAGGAGGCAGGTGGTCAGCAGCGGGCCAGGGAGGAAGCACTCAGAGCAACACTTCTGACCTGGGCGCAGGCGCTCAAGCCAGGTCTCCGGGTACCACTGAACCCCACATCCTCTGTTGCACGTGTGGGAAGCTGCCACGACCACATTCCCACTTCTTGTCACTCTCTGTCATCGTGGGGGGGACTCTGTTTGTGACTGTCACCTTTGGAGGCCTCTTCCTTTCCACTGCAGCAGACTGTCTGCACTGGTGACCCAGGCTGACTGATGTGTCCTTGGTGACTCTGAAGGCCACTTTCTGGCCCAGCACAGTCCAGCTGAGAGCTCCTCCTGGCTACAGGTCTAGGTGCAGGCTGGTGGCATGTCTCCTTTGTGCCCTTCCTCTGCCACTATCATGGACAGCGGCCTGCCTTCTGCTGCCAGTGTAGGACGGTAGGCTCTTCATTCCAACCCTGCCACGGCCCTCCTGCCTCCCGGGCAGCTTCAGGCCTGCGCTGCCCTCGGGGCATTTCCTCACAGCCGATCCTCCCGCTGCCAGCAGGCCCTGTGACTTAATGAAGCTGCCAGCATCTGGCCCTGCTCCTGCATGTAAAACCACTTCCTGTGGCATCGCTGGACACCCTGGACTAGTGCCTGGGCAGCTGACACTGCAGATGACCAGCAATGATTCCCTATGGTCCTGGGCATGACTAGGCCTTGAATCTCACACCCCACCTGGACCAGGCGCCACAAGGACGGCAAGAGCCCTCCTCCTGGGATGCTGCCTCAGGGAACCCCGTGGTGCTGGGGAGCAGGGCCTGTAAGGGCGGAACGCATCCTGAAGTCCTCGGTGTACGAGCTGTGAGGCCAAAAAGCTGGGCCTCGGCACCAGTCATCCACCTTGTTGTGACCCACAGGCCGTCCTGAGCGGGACACATCATCCCCCAGAAAGCCACTGTGTCACGGCCCTGGGAAGGAAGCAGAAACCACCAGTCATCAGTGTGAGGTGAGTCAGTGCCAGCAGGTGTGACCGGACACCACAGGGGTGGCAGAAAGCAGGCGAAGGAGGGGCACAGGAGCTGGCAGCAAGCCCGGGGCCATCTGAGGGCTGGGAAAGGAAACGGGGGAGCAGCCAATGAAAAGGCACAATCCCACCAAGAGGAGCATCTAGCTGAGACGGCAGCACCTTCCACTCTCAGGCGGGTGACAGACGGTCCTTCATCAAGCGGGGCCCCAGAGGAGGTGCCCGGAGCTTGGGGTCAAAGCAAGTCCTGCAGTCCACTTGGTTAGCCTCAGGGCCTGCTGCAGACCCCATCCCTCCACCAGCCCAGATCCTACCCACAGGACCCTGCAGTGTCCTGACACCTGGGCAAACCACCCACACACCACCCCGAGAACCAGCGGCGCTCAGTGGGACCCAAGGAGCTTTTGCTTTCTTCTCTGCCCTGCCCTCAATTCTTCCACGCATCCTTTGTAGAATAGAAATATTTGCTTTTTAAAAACAAATCGCTCCTTTCTTGGAGGACCTGATTCTAACCTGTCTAATCTAATGTGTTCCCTTTCTTACCCTAGCCCTGAACCACCCTTCCTACGTCCTAATTTTCAATACAATCAGAACACAAATCACAACTGACTCCAGATGTGTCAAAGACACAGCCAGACACAGGCAACCAGTCAGGGCCTCTCCGTGCCACTTCGCTGCCTCTCTGTCCCCACAGGGCTCCCTATGCTGAGTGCAGAGAGCTAAAATATTAAGTCCTTGCTGCTGCCGGCTGCGTTCTCCACTGATCCCCATTCTGCATCCCAGGACAAGCACAAGACATGGAGAAACCTGAAATCCTTGTTCTGCCAGCTGGAAGGTCGAATGGCAGAAATGTGGAAAACAACGGAGTGGTTCCTTGAAAACTTAAACCCAGGATTGCCTGATGATCAAACAATCCCACTTCTCAGAGTCTGCTTGAGGGAACTGAAAGCAGGGACACCAAGAGCGACGTGCACACCAT